CAGGGGTGAGGGATTTTTTTTTTGGGGGGGGGGTCTTTGGGGGTTTTGGATGGGTTTGGGGCTGGGAGACTGAAGGGCTTCGGGGGGTTCTTTTGGGGTGTCCAACTCTGGGGCTGAGGGGGATCTTTGGGGTCTTTACGGGGTTGTTCTTGGGGAGGGGTGGGACTCTTCTGGGGAGGGGTTTTTGAGTTTCATGAGGGAATTTCGGGGGATTTGGAGCTTCCTGAGGGGATTTTGGGGTATCTGGAGCTTCCTGGGGGTATCTCAGGTGCCCAGTGCAGTCTGGGCCCAACTTTTCCCAGGAAAAACCAAATTCCGAGCTTTCCTTTCCCAGTGAAACCCCTGGGAATGCACGGGGGTGGGGGGGACCTGAGAACCCCAAAATCCCCCCCAAAAAAAACCCCCAAAAAGAAGTGGGAGCGGGGCGGGGAGGGAGAACTTTGTTGGTGCCAGGGAAATCCGATTCCCGTTCCCGTCCGGTGACTCACCGGGGGTGGGAACAGCTCCCGGGGATCCCGAAATCCCAGAAAGATCCCAAAAAGGGCCCGGGAGCGGCAGCAGAGCCACGGGGATTGCTGGGTGAGCAGCGATGGGGCCGGGGAAAGGGCTGGAAAACCGGGAATCCGCCGCCCCCGAGGCTCTTTTTGGGCTAAAAAAGCCGATTTTTGGCTTTTGGAGCCGGCGTTTTTCCTGGCTTGTGCCGAGCCTGGCGGAATTGCTGGGAGAACCCAGCCCTTTACCCCACCTTTTTTCAGCTCCAAATCGCTTTTTTTCACCTTAAATTTTGGGCTCAGGTCCGTAAGGATTCCATCTGGGAAGGAGTTCCTTGCTCCTCGCTTTTCCCTGGAAGGATTTGAGGCCTGATCCCTGATTTTCTGGCTCTTTATCCATCTTTTTTTTCCTGGAATTTGGAGCCAGAAACCCCAGGAGAGCAGCGTGTGCGGGTGGGATAATTCAGTTTTTGTGCTTTGTAGCATTTCCCCCTGTTTTTGTGGGATTTTCCCTCTTTTTCTGGGGTTTTCCCTTTCTTTTCTGGGATTGATCCTCTCTGAGCGTGGATTTTCCTTTCTTTTGGCAGGATCCAACACCTTCAAAAAGTCCTTGACTCCTGAGGTGAGTTCCAGGCTGGAAAAATCCCAAATTTCAGCTTTTCCTGCTCCTTTTCCTCCTTTTCCTGCCCTTTTTCCAAGCCTGAGCAGCTCCTCCCATGGGAATTTTGGGAATTTACCCTTCCCGAGGGAATTCCTGCTCCAAAACCCCAATCTATCCTGGCACCACCCCAAAAACCCCTGGAAAAATTCAATTTAACAACTCCTGGATGAATCCTGGGATCCCTGGGCCGGGAATCACTGCATTGGGATTTGCACCTTTCCCAAAATTCCTCCTAAAACATTGGAATTACCGTGGGAAAAACCCAGCCCAGCTTTCCATGGACTCCAGGTGTTTTTGGGTGGGAAAAATCCTGTTAAAAAGTTGAGTTTTCCAGGTTTTTTTCTCTCTTCCCCTTTTTTCTTTTCCCAAGATGCCGGGAGGATCCCAGACCATCCGGAAAGGCCACAGAGGAGTGGATTCCACGGGAGAAACCACCTACAAAAAGGTAAATTCCCACTTTTTTTCCCCTGATTGCAAGGAATTCTGCCCAGGATCGCTGTGGCAATGGGAGGATGTTCCATGGAAATGAAGGGAAAAGGGAATTTTTTGGGGGGCTTTTTTCCCATTTCAATTCTCATCCAGTTCCCATTCCCACTGGATTTCTATTCCCATTGAGTTTCTCTCATTCCCATGGAATTCTTGCAATTCCCATTGAGTTCCATCTGTTCCCATTGAATCTCTCCCCTTTCCACTGAGTTCCCACTGAACCTTTCCCACCCAATCCCCTCCATTCCCACTGCACTCCAGACTTTCCCAGCCCCATTCCTGGCTGGAATTCCAGTTCCCAGCCCTATTCCCATTCCAGCTGTAATTCCCATTCCCACTGGAATCCCCCCTGTTTTCCACATTCCCATTCCCACCTCTGTCCCTGCTGTGAATCCCCATTTCCCTGTTCCTGGCTGTAATTCCCATTCCCAGCTGTAACCCCCATTCCAGCTGTAGTCCCCATTCCCAGCTGTAACTCCAGCTGTAACCCCCATTCCAGCTATAATTCCCATTCCAGCTGTAACCCCCATTCCCATTCCCCCATAACCCCGTTCCTATTCCCTCTGTATCCCCCATTCCCCCATAACCCTGTCCTGTCCCAGCTGCAATTCCCGTCCCTGCTGTTCCCATTCCCGTTCCCGTTCCCCCATAACCCCGTTCCCTCTGTAATCCCCATTCCCGTTCCATCCCGTGTCCCGTCCCATTCCGGTTCCCCTGTGACCTGTGCCGTCCCGTTCCCCCGCTCCCGTTCCGTCCCGTGTCCCATTCGCATTCCCCCGTGCCATCCCATTCCCCCTGACCCTTGCTGTCCCGTTCCCCCTGACCCGTGCCATCCCGTTCCCGTTCCCCCTGACCCGTGCTGTCCCGTTCCCGTTCCCCCTGACCCGTGCCATCCCGTTCCCGTTCCCCCTGACCCGTGCCGCCCGCTCTGTCCCAGACCACGTCGTCGGCGCTGAAGGGCGCCATCCAGCTGGGCATCACGCACACCGTGGGCAGCCTGAGCACCAAGCCCGAGCGCGACGTGCTCATGCAGGACTTCTACGTGGTGGAGAGCATCTTCTTCCCCAGGTCAGCGCTCCCGCTCCCCCCCGGGGCGCCGCGTTCCCCCGGGACCCCCGGTGCCATTCCGGAACGTTCCGTGTCCCCGCAGCGAGGGCAGCAACCTGACCCCCGCCCACCACTACAACGACTTCCGCTTCAAGACCTACGCGCCCGTGGCCTTCCGCTACTTCCGGGAGCTCTTTGGGATCCGCCCCGACGACTACCTGGTCAGCTGGGCATGCCTTCCCCTTCCCCTTCCCCTTTGCCTTCCCTGGATCTCCCTGGAATTCCCTTTGCCTTCCCTGGATCTCCCTGGAATTCCCTTTGCCTTCCCTAGAGCTCCCTGGAATTCCCTTTGCCTTCCCTAAATCTCCCTGGAATTCCCTTTGCCTTCCCTGGATCTCCCTGGAATTCCCTTTGCCTTCCCTGGATCTCCCTGGAATTCCCCTTACCTTCCCTAGAGCTCCCTTTTCCCTTTCCCTTTTATGTTTTTCCTTCCCACCCCAATTCCCCGCTGTCCCCAGGCAATCCCAATCCCCAATCCCAGTCCCCTGCTGTTCCCCTTCCCACCCCAATCCTCCATTCCCATTCCCAATCCCCTGCTGTCCCCAGGCAGTCCCAATTCCCCATTCCCAATCCCCTGCTATTCCCCTTTCCACCCCAATCCTCCATTCCCAATCCCAATCCCCTGCTGTCCTCAGGCAATCCCCGATCCCCCATTCCCAATCCCCTGCTGTCCCCAGACAATCCCAATCCCCCAATCCCCCAATCCCAATCCCCTGCTGTCCCCAGGCAATCCCAATCCCCCAATCCCAATTCCCTGCTGTCCCCAGGCAATCCCAATCCCCCAATCCCAATTCCCTGCTGTCCCCAGGCAATCCCAATCCCCCAATCCCAATTCCCTGCTGTCCCCAGGCTATCCCCCATTCCCGTTCCCGTTCCCAATTCCCTGCTGTCCCCAGGCTATCCCCCATTCCCGTTCCTGTTCCCAGTCCCATGCTGTCCCCAGGTAATCCCAATCCCAATTCCCTGCTGTCCCCAGGCTGTCCCCCATTCCCGTTCCCGTTCCCAGTGCCGTGCTGTCCCCAGACAATCCCAATTCCCCATTCCCGTTCCCATTCCCAATCCCCTGCTGTCCCCAGGCTGTCCCCCATTCCCGTTCCCAGTGCCGCGCTGTCCCCAGGCAATCCCAATCCCCCGTCCCCGTTCCCAGTGCCGTGCTGTCCCCTATTCCCGTCCCCGTTCCCAGTCCCGCGCTGTCCCCAGGCAATCCCAATCCCCCATTCCCAATCCCCCGTTCCCGTTCCCAATCCCCTGCTGTCCCCAGGCTGTCCCCCATTCCCGTTCCCATTCCCAGCTGGATCTCCCTGGAATTCCCTTTGCCTTCCCTGGATCTCCCTGGAATTCCCCTTGCCTTCCCTAGAGCTCCCTTTTCCCTTTCCCTTTTATGTTTTTCCTTCCCACCCCAGTCCCCTGCTGTCCCCAGGCTATCCCAATCCCCCGTCCCCGTTCGCAGTGCCGCGCTGCCCCCGGCCGTGCCGCGGTGCCAGCCCCGCGCGTGTCCCGTGTCCCCGCAGTACTCGCTGTGCAGCGAGCCCCTCATCGAGCTCTCCAACTCGGGCGCCAGCGGCTCGCTCTTCTACGTCTCCAGCGACGACGAGTTCATCATCAAAACCGTGCAGCACAAGGAGGCCGAGTTCCTGCAGAAGCTCCTGCCCGGCTACTACATGGTGAGAGCGCCCGGAATTCCAGAGATTCCTGGGAATTCCCGGCCCTGGGAATGCGGGAAATCCCGGAGGAGCGCCCCCCCGTGGGGCTGGGCTCTCGTCCCCCTGGGTGTGAGCCCTTTCCCAGCCCAAAACACCGTGGAAAACACCAAAAAAATCCATGGAAAACTGCTCTCGTCCCCCTGGGTGTGAGCCCTTTCCCAGCCCAAAACACCGTGGAAAACACCAAAAAAATCCATGGAAAACTGCTCTCGTCCCCCTGGGTGTGAGCCCTTTCCCAGCCCAAAACACCGTGGAAAACACCAAAAAAATCCGTGGAAAAACAGCAATCCATACGAAACCCCCAAACCAGAGGGATCTGGATGTTCTTCCCAAGTTGTGTCTGCAATTTTGAATGATTTCCGACTCCAAAACCCTAAAAATTAATGGAAAACGCCAAAAAAAATCCATGGAAAAACCCCAACAATCCAAACAAAAGCCCCAAACCAGAGCGATTTGATGTCCTTCCCACATTTTATTTACAATTTTGATGCATCCCCAACTCTAAACCCCAAAATGCATGGAAAACCCCAACAATCCAAACAAAACCCCCAAACCAGAGCAATTTGATGCTCTTCCCACGTTTTTCCTGTGATTTTGACACATCCCCAACCCCAAAACCCAAAAAGTCTATGGAAAAACCTCAACATTTAAAGAAAACCCCCAAACCAGAGGGATTTTGATGATTTTCCCACATTTTCCCTGTGATTTTGACGTATCCCCAACCTCAAAACCCCAAAAATCCATGGAAAACCCCCCACAATCCATACCAAATCCCCAAACCAGAAGGATTTGCCCCTCTTCCCACATTTTCCCTGCCAATCTGACCCACCCCCACCCCCAAACTCCCCAAACCAGAAGGATTTGCCCCTCTTCCCACATTTTCCCTGCCAAATTTGACTCACCCCCACCCCGTGACCCCCCAAACCAGAAGGGTTTGCCCCTCTTCCCACCTTTTCCCTGCCAAATTTGACTCACCCCCCCCCCCAAACTCCCCAAACCAGAAGGGTTTGCCCCTCTTCCCACCTTTTCCCTGCCAAATTTGACTCACCCCCCCCCCCAAACTCCCCAAACCAGAAGGGTTTGCCCCTCTTCCCACCTTTTCCCTGCCAAATTTGACTCACCCCCCCCCCCAAACTCCCCAAACCAGAAGGGTTTGCCCCTCTTCCCACCTTTTCCCTGCCAAATTTGACTCACCCCCCCCCCCAAACTCCCCAAACCAGAAGGGTTTGCCCCTCTTCCCACCTTTTCCCTGCCAAATTTGACTCACCCCCCCCCCCAAACTCCCCAAACCAGAAGGGTTTGCCCCTCTTCCCACATTTTCCCCGCCAATCTGACCCACCCCCACCCCGTGACCCCCCAAACCAGAAGGATTTGATGCTCTTCTCACATTTTATGTGTGATTTTGACGCATCCCCACCCTGTGAAACTTTTCATTGGTTTTTTGGGGAAATTGGGGGTGGTTTGTGTTTTTTTCTTGGTTTTTGGGGGGAAATTGGGGGTGGTTTGTGGGTTTTCATTGGTTTTTTGGGGAAACTGGGGGTGGTTTGTGGTTTTTCCTTGTTTTTTTGGGGAAATCGGTGGTGTTTTGTGTTTTTTCCTGGTTTTTGGGGGAAACTGGGGGTGGTTTGTGGATTTTCATTGGTTTTTTGGGGAAATTGGGGGTGGGTTGTGTTTTTTTCTTGGTTTTTTGGGGGAAAATTGGTGGTGTTCAGCATATTTTCCTGGTTTTTGGGGAAAACTGGGGGTGTTCTGTGCTTTTTCCTCTTTTTTTGGGGAAAACTGGGGTTATTCTGTGGTTTTTCCTCTTTTTTGGGGAAAACTGGGGCTGTTCTGTACTTTTTCCTCTTTTTTGGGGGGGAAATTTGTGAGTGTTGTGCTTCGTTTCCTGTTTTTTCATGGACAACTGGTGCTGGTTCCCCCTTTCCCGTGTTTTAGGGGAAATTGATAAATTATTTGTGAAAGTAAAACTTCAAATATTATGGTTGCTTGTACTTATATGTATCCAGTAACTTTATAATGCATTTAGTGGGAGTGTTTCTCATTTTGACTCTTTGTTTCCAGTGCTGTAAACATTATTCTCTCTAATTACAGATAAAAAAACTTGTGGACCTCATGAGTTCCAGTGCAAAAACAACAACTGCATTCCAGATCACTGGAGATGTGACAGCCAGAATGATTGTGGAGATAATTCTGATGAAGAAAACTGTAGTAAGTAACTTTTACCTTGGTCCATGTTAGAACAGAGTCAGGTTAGCAACATGCAAGAGGAAACTTTTGAATTTTGGTAAAACACAGGTGTGTATTTTCATTCAACACTTTCTGATCTGCTGAAAATCAGCTGACCACAATTGAAAATGTCCCTTGCTGTAACTCTCCAATTCTGTTCACTCTTATAAAGAGCTGTATCAGCTATGAAAAAAATGCCTGACCCCCCAAACCAGAAGGATTTGCCCCTCTTCCCACATTTTACCTATGATTTTGACGCATCCCCAACCCCAAAACCCCAAAAATCCATGGAAAACCTCCACAATCCATACCAAACCCCCAAACCAGACGGATTTGCACCTCTTCCCACATTTTACCTGCGATTTTGCCACATCCCCAACCCCAAACCCCCCAAACCAGAAGGATTTGATGCTCTTCCCACATTTTATGTGTGATTTTGACTCACCCCCAAACCCCGAAATTGGGGACGTTCCGTGCTTTTTTTTGGGTTTTGGGGGGGAAACTGGGGGTGTTCTGTGCTTTTTCCTCTTTTTTGTGGAAAACTGGGGGTGTCCTGTGCTTTCTCCTCTTTTTTTGGGGGGAAGTTTGTGAGTGCTGTGCTTCTTTTCCCGTTTTTCATGGACGACTGGTGCTGGTTCCCCTTTCCCGCGTTTCCGCGCTTTCCTGTGGAACGCTGGAAGACCCCGAGCCGCGCTCCGGCCCCGATTTTGCCCGTTTCCCGTCGGGTGCCCTTCCCCAACCCCCCTTTCCCCGGGCAGGTGCTGCAGAGTTTCAAGATCATGGACTACAGCCTGCTGGTGGCCATCCACAGCCTGGACCAGGCCCAGCGCGAGCGCGCGGCCGCCGGCTGGGGTTTGGATGGACTGGGATTTACTGGGGTTTACTGGGGTTTACTGGGATGGTCTGGGCTGGGCAGAGAGCGCTCTACTCCACGGCCATGGAGTCCATCCAGGGGGAGGCACGCCGGGGGGGCACCATCGAGACTGAAGACCAGTGAGATGGGCTGGGAATCGCTGGGGTTTACTGGGATCCATTCCCTGATCCGTTCCCCATTCCCCGACCCCATTCCCTGACCCCATTCCCCATTCCCTAATTCCATTCCCTGACCCCATTCTCCATTCCCTGATCCATTCCCTGACCCCATTCCCTGATCCATTTCCTGACCCCATTCCCCATTCCCTGATCCATTCCCTAACCTATTCCCCCATTCCATTCCCTGACCCCATTCCCCATTCCCTGATCCATTCCCTGACCCCATTCTCCATTCCCTGATCCATTCCCTGACCCCATTCCCTGATCCATTCCCTGACCCCATTCCCCATTCCCTGACCCCATTCCCCATTCCCTGATCCATTCCCTGACCCCATTCCCTGATCCATTTCCTGACCCCATTCCCTGCTGCCCTTTCCCAGGATGGGCGGAATTCCCGCCCGGAATTCCCGGGGGGAGCGGCTGCTGCTCTACATCGGCATCATCGACGTCCTGCAGTCCTACAGGTCAGTCATCAATTACTAATTAACTACCCGTTAATTAACCCACATTTCCTGGCCCTTGGGATCCCCCCGGATCAGCAGTTTCCGCCGTGGGCTTCAAACCCTGGGAGCTCCATGGGAATTTCTGGGAATTCCTGGGAATTTCTGCTCCATTCCCTCCCCGCAGGTTCGTGAAGAAGCTCGAGCACTCCTGGAAGGCCCTGGTGCACGATGGGGTGAGTGGGAAATGGGAATTTCTATGGAAAAAGTGGGAATTTCTATGGAAAAATGGGAATTTTTATGGAAAAGGTGAGGATTTTTATGGAAAAGCAGAATTTTTTGAGGGGAAAATGGCCCTTTCTTATGGAAACCCCCAGTTTTAAAGGAAAATCCCCAGCTTTTAATGGAACCCCCCACATTTTAAGATTTTCCCCCCGAATTCCTGCGATTCCCACCCCAATTCCTGGGATTCATTCCCAAAATCCTGAAATTTCCCCCCAAGCCCCTCGGAGCTCCCCCCGCCTGCCCGGAATTCCCGAATTCCGGGGCTCATTCCCGTTTTCCCGGCTTCCAGGACACGGTGTCCGTGCACCGGCCCAGCTTCTACGCCGAGCGCTTCCAGCGCTTCATGTGCCACACGGTGTTCCGCAGGATCCCACGTGAGTGCCCCGCAGCTCCCTCTGCAATTCCCACTTTCCCCTCTGCAATTCCCACTTTCCCCTCTGCAATTCCCAGATCTCGGCCCTGCTCCCCATTTCCCCCCTTTTTTTCCCAGCTTTTTTTCTGGATTTTCCCAGCTTTTCTCCTTCTCCGTCCCAAAAAAAAAAGGTGGAAAAGAGATTTTTTAATGAGTCTTTTCCCTTTTTTTTTCTCAGGGTTTTCCTGCTTTTTTTATAGCTTTTTCCTATTTTTTTTTCCAGCTTGTTTTTTCCTTTTCCTGACATAAAAATTCCCTGGAAAAGTCACAAAAGCGCTTTTTGTTTTTTGGGGATTTTCCCCCCACTTTTCCAACCTTTTCCTTCCTCTCCTGCTTCTTAACCTCCCTAAAAACCTGCTTTATTCCCCCTGGGAAACGCTTCCCTCGTGGATTTCCCCCCTTTTCCTCCTGCCGCCGCCCCTCCCTGCCCCAGCGCCGCCGGAATCCCGGGAAAGCCGCGGTTCTCATGGATTTCCCTCTGGCAGTGAAGGCCTCGCCGTCCAAGAAGAGCCGGGGCGGCGGCGCCGTTCCCAGGAGGAGCTGCCAGGGGGGGATCCCGCTCCCGAACCAGCTCCCGGCCGCGGGGGACGCCCGGGCCCCGCCGGGCGCCGAGCCGGACCTGGAGCAAGGTGGGCGCAGGGGCTTCCGTCCCAAAAACCCCCGCTCTCATCCCACGGAATGCCCCTTTCATCCCAAAAATCCCAGCCCCGTTCCCAGGTTCCCAGTCCCATTCCTGGCCCCATTCCCGTTCCTGTTGCAAGCTCGCAGTCCCGTTCCCAATTTGCCGATCCCATTCCAAGTTTCTCGATCCCCTTCCCAATCCCATTCCTGACCCCAGTCCTCTTCCCAAACCCATTCCCGATCCCATTCCTGATCCCATTCCCGATCCCAATCCCATTCCTGACCTCAGTCCCCTTCCCAAACCCATTCCTGACCCCAGTCCCCTTCCCAATCCCATTCCTGACCTCAGTCCCCTTCCCAAACCCATTCCCAATCCCATTCCCAGTTTCCTGACCCCATTCCCAGTTTTCTGACCCTGTTCCCATTCCCTTTGTTGGCTCTCGATCCCATTTCCAGGTTCCCATTTCCAGGGTTCCAATCCCATTCCTGGACCCCAATCCCATTCCCACTTTTCCGACCCCGTTCCCAGTTTCCCCATCCCATTCCCAGTTCCTGACCCCATTCCCAGTTTCCCGATCCCATTCCCAGTTTCCCGACCCCGTTCCCAGTTTCCTGACCCCATTCCCAGTTTCCCAATCCCATTCCCAGTTCCTGACCCCGTTCCCAGTTTCCCGACCCCGTTCCCAGTTTCCCGACCCCATTCCCAGTTCCCGACCCCATTTCCAGGTTCCCGACCCCGTTCCCAGTTTCCTGACCCCATTCCCAGTTTCCCAATCCCATTCCCAGTTTCCCGACCCCGTTCCCAGTTTCCTGACCCTGTTCCCAGTTCCTGACCCCGTTCCCAGTTTCCCAATCCCATTCCCAGTTCCTGACCCCATTCCCAGTTTCCCGACCCCGTTCCCAGTTTCCAATCCCATTCCCAGTTTCCCGACCCCATTCCCAGTGTCCCGACCCCGTTCCCAGTTCCTGACCCCGTTCCCGTTGCAGGCTCCCGGCCGGATCTGCTGCCGCGCTCGGTGCCGGACGCCGGCGGAGCCTCGGTGGCGCCGTCCCTGTCCCTGTCCCTGTCCCCGTCCCTGTCCAGCCCCTCCCTGGGCAGCGCCGGCGCCTCCCCCCCCAGCAGGTGGGAGCGGGGCCGGGGATCCCGGCGGGAAGGGAAGGGGGTTGGGATCGGGAAAAGGGATCGGGAAAAGGGGGTTTGGGATTGGGAAAAGGGGGTTGGGATCGGGAAAAGGGATCGGGAAAAGGGATTGGGATCGGGAAAAGGGGGTTGGGATCAGTCCTGAGGGGTTTGGGATCGGGAAAAGGGGGTTTGGGATTGGGAAAAGGGGTTTGGGATTGGGAAAAGGGGTTTGGGATTGGGAAAAGGGGGTTGGGATCAGTCCTGAGGGGTTTGGGATCGGGAAAAGGGGGTTTGGGATTGGGAAAGGGGGCTGGGATCGGGAAAAGGGGGTTTGGGATTGGGAAAAGGGATTGGGATTGGGAAAAGGGAGTTGGGATCAGTCCTGAGGGGTTTGGGATTGGGAAAAGGGGGTTGGGATCGGGAAAAGGGGGTTGGGATTGGGAGAGAGGGTTGGGATTGGGAAAAGGGGGTTGGGATCATTGCTGAGGGGTTTGGGATCAATCCCAAGGGGTTCAGGATCAGGGGAAGGGGTCTGGGACCATTCCCACGGTTTTTGGGATCATTCCCGAGGTTTTTGGGGCCGTTCCCGAGGCGCTGGGAGCTCTGCCCCGCTCCAGCCCCTCTCGGGGAGGTTTCCCTGGAATGCCCCTGTGGAAAACCGGGAATTCCCACAGCTGATCCCAGATCTGTTCCCGTGGCCGATCCCAAATCCCCGTGGTCGATCCCAAATCCCCGTGGTTGATCCCAAATCCCCGTGGTTGATCCCAAATCCCCGTGGCCGATCCCAAATCCCCGTGGCCGATCCCAAATCCCCGTGACCGATCCCAGATCCCCGTGGTTGATCCCGGATCCCCGTGGCCGATCCCAGATCCCCATGGCCGATCCCAAATCCCCGTGGCCGATCCCAAATCCCCGTGGCCGATCCCAAATCCCCGTGGCCGATCCCAAATCCCCGTGGTTGATCCCAAATCCCCGTGGCCGATCCCAAATCCCCGTGGTTGATCCCAAATCCCCGTGGCCGATCCCAAATCCCCGTGGCCGATCCCAAATCCCGGTGTCTGATCCGTTGCTCCCGCAGGTCCGTGGGGGTGGAGGTGCACCCGGGGCCCGGCGCGGCTCCCGCCCCCTCCCTGCCCAGGTGAGATTCTCCGGGATCTTCCCGGGAAATCCGGGACGAGGGGTTTGGGGAAAATTCCCAGATCTGGGGTGTTCCCCATTCCTCCTCCCCGGGCTGGAATTCCTGTGGGGCTCCCAGGGAACGTTCTCTCCATCCACAAATCCCATGGAATTCCCGGGAGGAATTAACCTGGAGGATTCTCTCCGTGCACGGGAATTTCATCTGGAATTCCCCGGGGATCCGCTTCATCCGTGAATTCCGTGGAATTTTCATGGCGTTTTCTCCTTATCCATGGGAAAACCCGGATTTTCCAATGCTTTTCAGGTGGTTTTCCCAGGATTTCCTGGGAACAGCAGGGGGTTGGGATTGAGGCCTGGGATTTCTTGGATTTCCCCCCAAATTCCCGTTTTTCTGTTGTTTTTCCAGCGGATCCCCCGGCCCCTCCCTGCCCCTGGAGCTGGAGGAGCTGCAGGAGACCGAGATCAGCTTCGTGAGTGTTTTCCATGGAAAAAAAAACGGGAATTCCCAGGGACTGGGGGGGGTTGGATCCCTGAATTTCCTGGGAATGCAGCGGGATCGGCTCTTCCCTCGCACCCGGGGCTTTGGGCAGCCCAAAATCCCTGGAATTGGAGAAAAAGGAGGGAAATCCTTCATTCCAGAGCATCAGGAGCATCCCAAATCCCACCCGGAGCATTCCCAGATTTCCCATCTTAAATCCCAACAGCATCTGGGGGAAAATTCCTTCCCAAAATTCCGGTAAGTCTGTTTAAAAACGAGGAAAATTCCTCATTCCTGAGTGTCTGGAAGGCCCCAAAATCCCTGGAATTGGAGAAAAAGGAGGAAAACCCCTCATTCCAGAGGGTCTGGAGTGCCCCAAATCCCACCAGGAGCATTCCCAGATTTCCCATCTTTAATCCCAACAGCATCTGGGGGAAAATTCCTTCCCAAAATTCCGGTAAGTCTGTTTAAAAACGAGGAAAATTCCTCATTCCTGAGTGTCTGGAAGGCCCCAAAATCCCTGGAATTGGAGAAAAAGGAGGAAAACCCCTCATTCCAGAGGGTCTGGAGTGCCCCAAATCCCACCAGGAGCATTCCCAGATTTCCCATCTTTAATCCCAACAGCATCTGGGGGAAAATTCCTTCCCAAAATTCCGGTAAGTCTGTTTAAAAACGAGGAAAATTCCTCATTCCTGAGTGTCTGGAAGGCCCCAAAATCCCTGGAATTGGAGAAAAAGGAGGAAAACCCCTCATTCCAGAGGGTCTGGAGTGCCCCAAATCCCACCAGGAGCATTCCCAGATTTCCCATCTTTAATCCCAACAGCATCTGGGGGAAAATTCCTTCCCAAAATTCCGGTAAGTCTGTTTAAAAACGAGGAAAATTCCTCATTCCTGAGTGTCTGGAAGGCCCCAAAATCCCTGGAATTGGAGAAAAAGGAGGAAAACCCCTCATTCCAGAGGGTCTGGAGTGCCCCAAATCCCACCAGGAGCATTCCCAGATTTCCCATCTTTAATCCCAACAGCATCTGGGGGAAAATTCCTTCCCAAAATTCCGGTAAGTCTGTTTAAAAACGAGGAAAATTCCTCATTCCTGAGTGTCTGGAAGGCCCCAAAATCCCTGGAATTGGAGAAAAAGGAGGAAAACCCCTCATTCCAGAGGGTCTGGAGTGCCCCAAATCCCACCAGGAGCATTCCCAGATTTCCCATCTTTAATCCCAACAGCATCTGGGGGAAAATTCCTTCCCAAAATTCCGGTAAGTCTGTTTAAAAACGAGGAAAATTCCTCATTCCTGAGTGTCTGGAAGGCCCCAAAATCCCTGGAATTGGAGAAAAAGGAGGGAAATCCTTCATTCCAGAGCGTCAGGAGCATCCCAAATCCCACCCGGAGCATTCCCAGCCTCCCCCTGGGAATTCCGGGATAAGCCCCAGGCATTCCCAACTTCCTCATTCCCGGTTTTTTCCCTTCCCAGTGAGCGCCTCGGGATTCCTGCTGGAGCTGCCCCGGGAACGTCCTCGGGATTCCCCTGGAATTCTGGGAAAAGCCAGAGAGGGATGGATGGAAACCTCGGGAACAGGCACCCGGAATTCCCAGGGATTCCCGGATTTTGGGATGAAAACACGGGAGAGAATTCCTGGAAAATTCCCGGCGGGAGTCGGAGCCGCGCCGATTTTTTTTGTGGAATTTTTTGGTGGGGGGAGGGGGGAATTTTGGAATTTTTTTTTTTTTTTGGATTTTTTTCCCGATTTTTTTTTTTTTTTTTTGGAATTTCGGTAGGATCCCATCCCGGTTTTCAGCCCTGTGGGAATTCTTGGGGTTGTTAATTATTAATTATTAGCTTTTCATTTTTATTCAGAAATCGGGATTTGCTCCGGGTTTTCCGTGGGAAATCCCTTGGAAAACGGGGAAAAAAGGAGGAGAAATCCTGGAGAAGCTCTGGCTCCTCCTCCCTTTTCCCAGCAGGAATTTTGGGAAGCTTTTCCCACAATCTGCGAGGAATTTTTGGGATTTTTGGGGATTTTTTTGGGGCGTTTTGTGGCATTTTTGAAATCCGAGCCCATCCTGGGATTCCCCCCGGATTTTTTAAGGATTTCTCATCCCAAATCCCATTTTTTTAACACCTCTGACAATCCCACAAAATTCCCTGAGCAAATTTTAGGATGGGATAAAAAAAACCCCAAACTCAGAAGGAGGAATTTCCCACCTGGATGCATCCCAAAAATCCCAAAATTCCCAAAATCCCAGAGCAGCCCCCGGGGCTGGGGCTGATTTCTTCTCCATCCCTGATTTTTTTATGGAAAAATCTCCTTTTTTTCCCCCCAATTCCCACTTGGAATTTTTATACCAAGCCTGGAATTTTTGTGCCGACGCCCGGGACGTGGAGCAGGGAGGGAATTCCTCCCCGGGCTCTTCCCTTGGCCAGGTTTTTTTAAGGAAATCTGATTTTTCCTGCCCCAAATTCCCAGATTTCCCCTCGGAGCTGCCTTGCCCGAGGGGATTCGGGGACAATTCCATGGATTTATTTCCCTTTTCCTTGGAATGTTTGTCTATATTAGACAAAGGCCCTCCCAGTCCCCTTTTATTCCCATTTTTTATCAGATCAGGAGGGGAAATTTCCCCAATTTTTTCCCAATTTCCTCATTTTTCCCCCCAATTTTTCCCTAATTTTTTCCCCATTTTCTTCCCCAATTTTTTCCAATTTTTCCCACTTTTTTCCCCAATTCCCCCCCTCCAGAAAGGAATATTTATGAATATTTAAATATTTTTGGGATAATTCCCCTTTTTCCTGGGAATTCTCCCCATCCAGAGGCTGGGGGGGGAGGGGCTGGAATTTTTGGGATTGGGGATTTTTTTTGGGGTGGGGGGGGGGCGGATTTTCCTGTTCCAGAGGGGAAAATTTGGGAATTGTGGGGGGAATTTTCCAGGAGAAAAAGAGGATTTGGCTCTTCCCGGGATGGGAACGGAATTCCTGGAATTCTCCTGGACCTGGAATGGAATTCTGGAATTTTCATGGACTTGGAATGGACATTTCCCACATTTGCAATGGAATTTCCTGGATTTGGGATGGAATTTCCCAGATTTGGGATGGAATTTCCTGGATTTGGGATGGAATTTCCCAGATTTGGGATGGAATTTTCCAGATTTGGGATGGAATTTCCCAGATTTGGGATGGAATTTCCCAGATTTGGGATGGAATTTTCATGGATTTTGGATGGAATTTCCCAGATTTGGGACGGAATTTCCCAGATTTGGGACGGAATTTTCCTGATTTGGGATGGAATTTCCCAGATTTGGGATGGAATTTCCCGGATTTTGGATGGAATTTCCCAGATTTGGGACGGAATTTCCCAGATTTGGGACGGAATTTTCCTGATTTGGGATGGAATTTCCCAGATTTGGGATGGAATTTCCCGGATTTTGGATGGAATTTCCCAGATTTGGGACGGAATTTCCTGGATTTGGGATGGAATTTTCCTGATTTGGGACAGAATTTTCCGGATTTGGGACGGAATTTCCTGGATTTGGGATGGAATTTCCTGGATTTGGGACGGAATTTCCCGGATTTGGGACAGAATCCGTGGAATCCTCCTGGCCTGGGACAGAATTCATGGAATTCCCTGGACTTGGGCCGGACTTTTCCTGGGTTTGGGGATGGAATCCGTGGAATTCCCCTGGAGTTTTCGGGGACTTTGCCGGGAGCGTTCCCGGATGTGGGGATGGATTTCATGGAACCTCCCCGGAATTTGGGATGGAATTTTTCCTGGATTGGGAATGGAATTCCTGGAATTGCCGTGTCCAGCCTGGAATTGTTGTCACCCTTGTCCCCAGGTGGGGCCGGCGGGAGCCCCCAGCTCTGCCTCGGGACCCGGGGGACATTTGGGGACCCTGGGGACACCCCTGGGGCGGCACAGAGGGACAGGAGCGAGGTGGGGCCGGCGGGAGCCCCCAGCTCTGCCTCGGGACCCGGGGGGACCCGGGGGACATTTGGGGACATTTGGGGACAGGGGGACACCCTGGGATGGCACAGAGGGACAGGAGCCCCCCCCGGGCTGTTCTCAGAGCCCCTCGCAGACCCCACGGGGGGTGGGGCCCTTTGGGGACAGTCCGGACCCTTTGGGGACAGTCCGGACCCTTTGGGGACAGCGGTGTCACCCGGGTGGTGTCCCGCCCAGCCCAGAACTACAACTCCCAGCATGCTCCGCGCCGCACCTCGCCTAGACGTGGCGCGCTGATTGGCCGCGGGGTCTGGACCAATCAGCGGGCGCGTTGTTGGGCGTTTCGGGGAGCGGCCGGCGCTGAGGGGAGGAAGGAGCCAAGATGGTTCTGGAGAGCACCATGGTGTGGTGAGAGCCCCGGGAGCGCCGGGCAGGCCCCGGCAACGCCCGGGCAACCCCCGGGAACCCTCCGGGCAACCCCCGGGAACCCCCCGGGCAACCCCCGGCCCGCCCGGCCGCTTCCCCTGAGTCATGGCGGGGGGGGGCGGAGCGGGCCGGGACTGAGGGGAGCGGGGAGTGAGGGGACAGGGGGGACAGAGAGGGGACAGGGGGGACAGAGAGGGGATGGGGGGACAGAGAGGGGACAGGGAGGGACATAGAGGCCGGGGGGCACAAAGAGGGGACGGGCTGAGGAGAGAGAGGGGGACAGGGAGGGACATGGGGGACAGGAGGGGACAAAGAGGGGCAGGAGGGACATAGGGGCCTGGGGGCACAGAGAGGGGACAGGAGGGACATGGGGGACAAGAGGGGACACGGGGGACAGGAGGGGACAGGGCGTGAGGGGAGGGCTGAGGGGACAGGGAGGGGCTGAGGCAGAGACGGGGCAGGTTCTGTGGGATGAGCTTCAACTGTTCCCAAAAAACGCAGATTTTGGGGGGATGAACGTCAGCAGTTCCCAAAAAGTCACAGGTTTGGGGGGATGGACATCAGTCATTCCCAAAAAAAAGGAGACTTTGGGGAATGGATGTCAGGTATCCCAAAGAAAAATGAAGATTTTTTGTGGGGAAAACCTTTGCATTCCCATAAAAATGACATTTTAGGCTGGAATAAATCTCTTTTCCCTAAAATGAAGCAGATCTTGGAGAGCTAAACCCCAACCACCCAGCAAAGGGAATTTCCCGGGATCCCCCTGCAGCATTCCCGGGTTTTTTTGGGAATTGCAGCGTGGACAACAGCGAGTACACGCAGAACAAACTTCAATTTTCCCCAAAAAAATCCAATTTTAGGCACCTAAACCCCATTTTTCCCCCACAAAACCCCAACCACCCCAGCAAAGGGAATTTCCCTGGATCCCCCTGCAGCATTCCCAGGGTTTTTTTGGGAATTGCAGCGTGGACAACAGCGAGTACACGCAGAACAAACTTCAATTTTCCCCAAAAAAATCCAATTTTAGGCACCTAAACCCCATTTTTCCCCCACAAAACCCCAACCACCCCAGCAAAGGGAATTTCCCTGGATCCCCCTGCAGCATTCCCAGGGTTTTTTTGGGAATTGCAGCGTGGACAACAGCGAGTACACGCAGAATAAACTTCAATTTCCCCCAAAAAATCCAATTTTAGGCACCTAAACCCCATTTTTCCCCCACAAAACCCCAACCACCCCAGCAGAGGGAGTCTCCTGGGATCCCCTGGCGCCATTCCCGGTTTTTTTTGGGAATTGCAGCGTGGACAACAGCGAGTACATGCGGAACGGGGACTTCCTGCCCACGCGGCTGCAGGCGCAGCAGGACGCCGTGAACATCGTGTGCCACTCCAAAACCCGCAGCAACCCCGAGAACAACGTGGGGCTCATCACCCTGGCCAAGTGAGGGGCATTCCCGGGAATTCCCAGCGTCGGGAATTCCCAGGATTTCGGGGCTGGGAACGGTGGGGAGCCGCTTGGGAGTGACCGGGAAGGAGCGCTTGGAAAATGGGGGTTTTGGGCTCGTGGCACGGGGGGAGCTTCAGGAATTGTTGGGATGCCTCGTTCCCGCCTGGAAGGGGAGGGGTCTGGGGATTTTGGGATCGAGGGAGGTGGGGAATTCACAGAGGAGGGGCTGGGAATTGTTGGGAATAACTGAGGGCTGCTGGTTCCCGCTGGGACTGGGAGGGATTTTGGAGGTGGGGGAATCAGGGAGGAGCTGGGGAGCTCAGGAATTCTTGGAAAACAGTTGGGAATGGCTCGTTCCCACTTGGAGGGACTTTGGGGACGGGAGCTTCAGGAGTTCTTGGAATGGCTCATTCCCACCTGGGATGGGAGGGATTTTGGAGGGCAGGGAAGGTTGGGAATTCAGGGAGAAGGAGCTGGGAATTGTTGGGAACAAGCTGGGAATGGCTCGTTCCCACCTGGGATGGGAGGGATTTTGGAGGCAGGGAAGGTTGGGAATTCAGGGAGAAGGAGCTGGGAATTGTTGGGAACGAGCTGGGAATGGCTCGTTCCCAGTCGGAGTCGGGCTGGTCTGGAATGGGAGGGACTTGGGATTTTGGAGGTGGGAACTTCAGGAATTCTCGGAATGGGAGGGATTTGGGGATCGTTGGAGGTGGGGAAATCTGGGAATTCAGGGAATTCCCTCCCAGATCACCAAGGAAATCCCCAGGAGTCGCTGCTGTGGCTGTGAGGAGCTGAGCCAGGGGGAATCTCCTCCCTGAGGGAGCCCCGGGGGGGAAATCCACCCCAGATTCCTGGCGGTTCCCCCAGAATTCCCGTTGTTCCCGCAGTAACTGCGAGGTGCTGACCACGCTGACCCCGGACACCGGGCGCATCCTGTCCAAGCTGCACACGGTGCAGCCCAAGGGCAAAATCACCTTCGGCACCGGCATCCGCGTGGCCCACGTGAGTCCCGGCGGCATTCCCGGGAATTCCCGCCCCTCCCGGCGCCCCACAAGGCGTCAGGGCCTGGCTGTGGGAAGTTGGCTTTGCCCGGGCTCCTAGGTGGGGAAATTTGGGTTTCCTTGGGTGTTTGTGGTGAAAATGGTGGGGGAGGTGTTAAAGGAGAAATCCATGGGAGTTTCAGAGAAGTCCATGGGAATCCACCATAAATCTGTGGAAATTTCATAGAAATCCATGGAAATCCACCATAAATCCATGGAAATAAGTGCCTGGAAATTTTACAGAAACCCATGGAAACCCACCAGAAATCCTTGGAAATTTCACAGAAATCCATGGAAGTCCACCATAAATCCATGGAAATTTCACAGAAATCCATGGAAATCCACCATAAATCCATGGAAATAAATGCCTGGGAATTTCACATAAATGCACGGAAATTTTACAGAAATCCATGGAAATCTACCATAAATCCATGGGAATTTTACAGAAATCCTTGGAAATTTCACAGAAATCCATGGAAGTCCACCATAAATCCATGCAAATATCACAGAAGTCCATGGAAATCCACCACAAATTCATGGGAATCCATCATAAATGCATGAAAATTTCATAGAAATCCATTCAAATTTTACAGAAATCCTTGGAAATCCATCATAAATCTATGAAAATTTCACAGAAATCCATGGAAATCCACCATAAATCCATGGAAATTTTACAGAAATCCTTGGAAATTTCACAGAAATCCATGGAAGTCCACCATAAATCCATGGAAATTTCACAGAAACCCCCCCTGAATCCCAAGATTTCAGCCCAGCCCTGTCCTGCCCCCCTCAATCCCCACCCCCTGGAGCAGATCCCGGGATCTGGGTCTGGGGGATCCCCGTTTTCCCGGGAATGGCCCCAAATCCGGGTTTTTGTGCAGCTGGCGCTGAAGCACCGGCAGGGCAAGAACCACAAGATGAGAATCATCGCCTTCGTGGGCAGCCCCGTGCACGACAGCGACAAGGACGTGAGTGCCGGGCGGGAGCGGGGCTGGGACCCCTCGGAGCTGGGCGGCCGATTCCAGAGCCAATCCCCAATTTCTGTGGGATCCGGGTGCTGGGCCGGATCCCAGCTGCTGCTGATCCCGGGGAATTCCTGCTTCTTCCCAGCTGGTGAAGTTGGCCAAGCGCCTCAAGAAGGAGAAGGTCAACGTGGACATCATCAACTTTGGGGAGGAGGTGAGAATCCTGGGAGTCCCCACATTCCACAGGGAATTCTGGGGCCTCTCCCGGCTCCGTGTTGGGGCTGGAAAATCCTGACGGGTGTTTTTGGGAACGAGGTCAGTCCTTGAGGGTTTTCCCTGGATCCCAAACCCTCCCCATGCCCGATTCCCTGCTGGGAACCCGCTGGCAGTTGCGTTGGGCATTCCCAGCACCACCACCCCAAATCCCTCCCCAGTCCCACATTCCCACATTCCCACATTCCCAGCCCCTGAGCGTTCCCACGTGCGTTCCCAGGAGGCCAACACGGAGAAGCTGACGGCGTTCATCACGGCGCTCAACGGCAAGGACGGCAGCGGCTCGCACCTGGTGACGGTGCCGCCGGGGCCCAGCCTGGCCGACGCCCTCATCAGCTCCCCCATCCTGGCGGGCGAGGGCGGCGCCATGCTGGGCCTGGGCGCCTCCGACTTCGAGTTCGGGGTGGATCCCAGCGCTGACCCCGAGCTGGCTCTGGTAGGGATCCCGGAATTCCCAAAATTACCAGGAATTGGGTGTTTACAGCACAAAATCCCAACATGCCCAACTGCAAACCCAATGGGTGAGGGCGGCGCCATGGCTGGGCCTGAGCACCTCAGACTTCGAGTTCGGGGTGGATCCCAGCGCTGACCCCGAGCTGGCTCTGGTAGGGATCCCGGAATTCCATGGGATTGGCCATTTCCAAAATTGAAATCCCCTAAAACCTCAAATGCCCAACTCCAAACCCCATGGGTGAGGTCAGCGCCATGCTGGGCCTGGGCGCCTCAGACTTCGAGTTCGGGGTGGATCCCAGCGCTGACCCCGAGCTGGCTCTGGTAGGGATCCCGGAATTCCATGGGATTGGCCGTTTCCAACATCGAAATCCCCTAAAACCCCAAATGTCCAAACCCTGTGGGTGAGGGCAGCGCCATGCTGGGCCTGGGCGCCTCCGACTTCGAGTTTGGGGTGGATCCCAGCGCTGACCCCGAGCTGGCTCTGGTACGGATCCCAAAATTCCCAAAATTACCGGGATTTGGGTGTTTACAGCACCAAAATGCCAACATGCCCAACTCCAAACCCCGTGGGTGAGGTCAGTGCCATGCTGGGCCTGAGCACCTCCGACTTCGAGTTCGGGGTGGATCCCAGCGCTGACCCCGAGCTGGCTCTGGTAGGGATCCCAAAATTCCCAGGAATTTGGGCGTTCCGCAGTGTCAAAATCCCACAAACCCCAAATCTCCCAGCTCCCACAGCGCCAACCCCAGAATTCCCAGGAGGCGGGCAATTCCCGGGGTCAGAATGCCGTAAAGCCCGGGTCCCCCCCGGCCGAGCCCCCCGCCCGTCGTGGCCCGGGGGCTGCGGCGGCCGCTGACGCGGGCGGGCGTTGCAGGCGCTGCGCGTGTCCATGGAGGAGCAGCGGCAGCGGCAGGAGGAGGAGGCGCGCAGGGCGGCCGCCGCCTCGGCTGCCGAGGCCGGGATCGGCGCCGCCGGGGGCGATGGTGAGGGGGCTGCTTGTGGGGTTTGTGGGGTTGGGAAGGGGCTGGATGGGATTGGGATTGATGGGATTGGGAAGGGGATGGATGGGATTGGGATGGATGGGATTGGGAAGGGGATGGATGGAATGGGATTGATGGGATTGGGAACGGGATGGATGGATGGCATTGGGATTGATGGGATTGGGAAAGGGATGGGTGGGATTGGGATGGATGGGATTGGGATTGATGGGATTGGGAACGGGCTGGATGGAATGGGAACGGGGTGGATGGAATGGGAATGGGATGGATGGGATTGGGATGGATGGGATTGGGAAAGGGATGGATGGAATGGGAATGGGGTGGATGGATGGGATTGGGATTGATGGGATTGGAAGGGGATGGATGGATGGGATTGGGATTGATGGGATTGGGATTGATGGGATTGGGAAAGGGATTAATGGGATTGATGGGATTGGGAAAGGGATGGGTGGGATTGGGATGGATGGGATTGGGATTGATGGGATTGGGAACGGGCTGGATGGAATGGGAACGGGGTGGATGGAATGGGAATGGGATGGATGGGATTGGGATGGATGGGATTGGGAAAGGGATGGATGGAATGGGAATGGGGTGGATGGATGGGATTGGGATTGATGGGATTGGGATTGATGGGATTGGAAGGGGATGGATGGATGGGATTGGGATTGATGGGATTGGGATTGATGGGAGTGGGAAAGGGATTAATGGGATTGATGGGATTGGGATTGATGGAATGGGATTTGTGGGGTGGGAATGGGATTGATGAGATTGTTTATGGGGTTGATGGAATGGGGTTTATGGGAATGGGATTGATGGGATTGGGAAGGGGATGGATGGGATTGGGATGGGGATGGATGGGATAGGGATTGATGGGATTGGGAAAGGGATGGATGGGATTGGTGGGATTGGGATTGATGGGGTGGAATGGGATTGATGGGATTGGGAACGAGATTTATAGGATGGGATTGATGAGAGTAGAAATGGGATTCATGGAATGGGATTCATGGAATTTGTGGGATTGGGAACAGGGTTGATGGAATGGGATTTATGGCATTGGGAACAAGGAGGACTAAAAAGCAGAATGGGTTCAGACTGAACAGTGGGGATTAACCCTTCCCTGGGTGCGTGGGGATGCCCCGTGGATCCCGGGACACCCTGTGGATTCCCGGGACACCCCGTGGATCCCGGGACACCCCATGGATCCCGGGCCACCCCGTGGATCCCGGGCCACCCCGTGGATCCCGGGCCACCCCATGGATCCTGGGACACCTTGTGGATCCTGGGCCCCCCCAGGGATCCCGGGCCACCCCATGGATCCTGGGACACCTTGTGGATCCTGGGCCCCCCCAGGGATCCCGGGCCACCCCATGGATCCCGGGACACCCCATGGATTCCCAGGACTCCCCATGGACCCCGGGACACCCCATGGATCCCGGGCCACCCCATGGATCCTGGGACACCTTGTGGATCCTGGGCCACCCCATGGATCCCGGGCCACCCCATGGATCCCGGGCCACGCCATGGATCCCGGGCCACCCCATGGATCCCGGGACACCCCATGGATCCCGGGACACCCTGTGGATCCTGGGACACCCCATGGATCCCGGGACACCCCATGGATTCCTGGGACACCCCATGGATTCCTGGGCCACCCCATGGATCCCGGGCCACCCCATGGATTCCCGTGACACCCCATGGATCCCGGGACTCCCCATGGATCCCGGGCCACGCCGTGCATTCCCTGCCCTCCCCGGCAGAGTCGGACGAGGCCCTGCTCAAGATGACCATCGGGCAGCCGGAGTTCGGCCGCGCGGGGCTGCCGGACCTGAGCTCCATGAGCGAGGAGGAGCAGATCGCCTACGCCATGCAGATGTCCCTGCAGGGCGCCGGTGCGTGCGGCCCGGGGAACCCGGGAAAACCGCAGGGAAACCCCGGGAAAAGCCCGGGAATCGCGGCCTGGCTGCTCCCGGGGGTTTCTCCATGGATTTCCGGCCTTGGCTTTTGCAGAGTTTGCCCAGGCCGAGGCGGCCGAGGTGGACAGCGGAGCGGCCATGGACACGTCCGAGCCCGCCAAGGTGGGGCTGCAGGAATTCCTGCAATTCCCAGCATTCCCATCAGTCCCAGCATTCCCATCAATCCCACCATTCCCACCGTTCCCGTCAATCCCATCCCACCCACAGAACGGGAGTGAGATCATCCTCAAGGTCCTTCCATCCCAAAGCATTCCAGGACTGCCTGTCCTGCTTTCTTTGGGATTTCAGGGACAAATGCTGGATCCTGCCCCCGTTATTCCATGGATTCCCCATCCCTGGGAGTGTCCAAGGCCCCATCCCACACTCCAGTAATGCCAGTTCCTCTAGAGCCCTCTGGATTGGGACGATCCCCAGTCCCCCGGGATGATCCCAAATCCCCTGGGCCAATCCCGAATCCCCCAGGATGATCCCAAATCCCCTGGGATGATCCCAAATCCCCATGGCCAATCCCGAATCCCCCGGGATGATCCTGAATTCCCTGGGTTTTCCTGGGGATCTGGATGATCCTGAATCCCTTGGGCTGATCCCAAATCTCCCAGGCTGATCCCCAGTCTCTCAGGCTGATCCTGAATGCCCCGGGCCAATTCCAAATCCCTCAGACCGATCCTGAATCCCCGGTCCGATCCCGCATCCCCTGGGCCGATTCCCAGGATCCTGAATTCCCTGGGTATTCCTGGGGATCTGGATGATCCTGAATCCCTTGGGCTGATCCCAAATCCCCTCGGCTGATCCGGAATCCTCCAGGTTGATCCCAAATCTCCCGGGCTGATCCCCAATCTCTCAGTCTGATCCCGAATCCCCGGTCCCATCCCAAATCCCTCAGTCCAATCCCCAATCCCTCAGTCTGATCCCAAATCCCCCGGGCCGATCACGAACCACTCAAACCAATCCCGAATCCCTCAGACCGATCCCGAATCCCCGGTCCCATCCCGCATCCCCCGGGCCGATCCCCAAATCCCTGTTCCCTCAGACCGATCCCAAATCCCTCAGTCTGATCCCACATCCCTTGGGCACATCCCAAATCCCTCAGACCGATCCCAAATCCCTCAGTCTGATCCCGCATCCCTTGGGCCCATCCCAAATCCCTCAGTCCAATCCCCAATCCCTCGGTCTGATCCCAAATCCCCCGGGCCGATCACAAACCACTCAAACCAATCCCAAATCCCTCAGTCTGATCCCAAATCCCTCAGTCTGATCCCAGATCCCCTGGGCCGATCCCGAATCCCTCAGACCGATCCCGAATCCCCGGTCTCATCCTGAATCCCCCGGGCTGATCCCGAATCCCCGGTCCCATCCTGAATCTCCGGTCCCATCCCGAATCCCCCGGGCTGATCCCGAAGCCCTCAGACTGATCCCGCATCCCTGGTCCCATCCCCGGTTCCATCCCAAATCCCTCAGACCAATCCCGAATCCCCAGTCCCATCCCGAATCCCCCAGTCCCATCCTGCATCCCTTGGGCTCATCCCAAATCCCTCAGACCAATCCCAAATCCCCGGTCCCATCCCGAATTCCTGGTCCCATCCTGAATCCCCCGGTCCCATCCCGAACCCCTCAGACTGATCCTGCATCCCCTGGTCCCATCCCAAATCCCTCAGACCGATCCCCAATCCCTCGGTCCGATCCCGAATCCCTGGTCCCATCCCGAATCCCCGGTCCCATCCCGCATCCCCTGGGCCAATCCCAAATCCCTCAGACTGATCCCGAATCCCTTGGGCCCATCCCGAATCCCTCAGACTGATCCCGAATCCCTCAGTCTGATCCCCAATCCCTCGGTCTGATCCCAAATCCCCCGGGCCGATCCCAAATCCCCGGTCCCATCCCGAACCCCTGGTCCCATCCCGCATCCCCCGGGCTGATCCCAAATCCCCGGTCCGATCCCAAACCCCTTAGACCGATCCCGCATCCCCCGGGCTGATCCATCCCGAATCCCTCAGACTGATCCCGAATCCCTCAGTCTGATCCCCAATCCCTCGGTCTGATCCCAAATCCCCCGGGCCGATCATGAACCACTCAAACCAATCCCGAATCCCTCAGACTGATCCCGCATCCCTCGGTCCGATCCCGAATCCCCGGTCCCATCCCGAATCCCCTGGGCTGATCCTGAACCCCTCAGACTGATCCCAACTGATCCCAAATCCCCCGGGCCGATCCGACCAATCCCTAATCCCCGGTCCCATCCCTAATCCTCGGTCCCATCCCCAGTCCAATCCCGCATCCCCGGTCCCATCCCCGGTCCCATCCTGAATCCCCGGTCCCATCCCAAATCCCCCGGGCCGATCCCAAATCCCTGGTCCCATCCCGAACCCCTCAGACCAATCCCTAATCCCCGGTCCCATCCCTAATCCTCGGTCCCATCCCCAGTCCAATCCCGCATCCCCGGTCCCATCCCCGGTCCCATCCTGAATCCCCGGTCCCATCCTGAATCCCGGGTCCCATCCCGAATCCCCAGTCCCATCCCGAACCCCTCAGACCAATCCCGAATCCCCGGTCCCATCCCGAATCCCCCGGGCTGATCCCGAATCCCCGGTCCCATCCTGAATCTCCGGTCCCATCCCGAATCCCCCGGGCTGATCCCAAATCCCTCAGTCCGATCCCACATCCCTTGGGCCCACCCCAAACCCCTCAGACCAATCCCGAATCCCCGGGCCGATCCCGAATCCCCGGTCCCATCCCGAACCCCCGGTCCCATCCCGAATCCCCGGTCCCATCCCCGGTCCCATCCCTGATCCCCAGTCCCATCCCGAATCCCCGGTCCCATCCCCGGTCCCATCCCTAATCCCCGGTCCCATCCCGCATCCCCCGGTCCCATCCCGAACCCCTCAGTCCGATCCCCCGCATCCCGTTCCCGCAGGAGGAGGACGACTACGACGTGATGCAGGACCCCGAGTTCCTGCAGAGCGTGCTGGAGAACCTGCCCGGCGTGGACCCCAACAACGAGGCCATCCGCAACGCCATGGGCTCGCTGGCCTCGCAGGCGGCGCGCGAGCAGCGCGAGCGCAAGGACGAGGAGAAGAAGTGAGCCCGGGAATGAATGGCGGGAATGGCGGGGCCGGGAGAGCTCCGCGGGATGTGGGAGCAATAAACGGAATTTCTCCAGAGGGAAAGTAAAGTCTTGGCAGTAATGGAAGGGATGCCCTGGGAGTGCTGGGAATGGTTAAAGGAGTTTCTCGTGGATTGCGGGAAGAACAAAAGGGATTCTTCCTGCTGGGGTTGCTGGGATTCCCTGGAATTCCCTGGAATTGGGGAATTGGGAATTCCCGCAGCGGCTCCCGGCGTCCCCCGCGGGATGTTTACCGTGCGGGGCTGGGCGGTTGATTGGCACAAGGGGCAACCAATCAGGGAGTGGAGGAGCGGATGTTGTCATTCAGGGGGCCCTTAATATGGGAAGGAAGGCGGGGTTAAGTGTGAGTGGCAGCTCTGCGGACTAATGAGCTGCGATAATCGGCTTGGCGGGCTTCTGGGCACTCCAGCCAATGGGAGAGCGAAGGAAGAGAGGCGGCCTTCAGTGACAGCGCTATCCGCCAATGGCATCTCGGAACATGAGGATGTGGGTGTGACATTCCCCCCGGAATTTCTCCAGAGGGAAAGTAAAGTCTTGGCAGTAATGGAAGGGATGCCCTGGGAGTGCTGGGAATGGTTAAAGGAGTTTCTCGTGGATTGCGGGAAGAACAAAAGGGATTCTTCCTGCTGGGGTTGCTGGGATTCCCTGGAATTCCCTGGAATTGGGGAATTGGGAATTCCCGCAGCGGCTCCCGGCGTCCCCCGCGGGATGTTTACCGTGCGGGGCTGGGCGGTTGATTGGCACAAGGGGCAACCAATCAGGGAGTGGAGGAGCGGATGTTGTCATTCAGGGGGCCCTTAATATGGGAAGGAAGGCGGGGTTAAGTGTGAGTGGCAGCTCTGCGGACTAATGAGCTGCGATAATCGGCTTGGCGGGCTTCTGGGCACTCCAGCCAATGGGAGAGCGAAGGAAGAGAGGCGGCCTTCAGTGACAGCGCTATCCGCCAATGGCATCTCGGAACATGAGGACGTGGGTGTGACATTTCCCTTCAGACGCCTCAGTGAGTGACAGCGCTGACAGCGAATGGGAGGAAGGGTTTGAAGCCATTCCGGGCGCGGGGTGGGCGGGTTCTGGTGCTGAGGGACGAATCCCGCTCCCAATAGGAGCGCCCGGCTGGGAGCCGCCGCCATAGACGCTCCCTGAGGCCAATGGCGGCCGGAACCCGCGATTGATAAACAGCGCTCTTTGACCAATGAGAAGCGAGATGAGGCCGGGGTTAATTGATAGACGGAGATTTCATCCAATCGGCAGCGAGATGCGCCAGCCCTGACAACCAATAGAAAGCGAGGACCTCGCGATGGGGGGGGCTTTGCGAGTTGAATGACGTCCTCGTTTCCCAATCAACACGCTCGCTTTGGGGCCGGTCCCGCTCAGCCAATGGGGAGTGCGGACGGCCGCGTTCAGCATTGAATGACAGCAGAACGAACCAGTCAGAATGCGGATTTTGATGAGTGGCGGACCGTACAGCCAATGGGAAAGCGCGGCGAGGGCGGGAACGCGCGGCGCGAGCGGCCGGCGGGGCGGAGGGGCCAAGCAGGAAGTGGCGGAGGGGAAGCGGCGCCGCTGAGGGGCCCGAGCGGGACCGGGATCGGGAATTGGGATCGGGAATTGGGATCGGAAACCGGGATCGGGAACCGGGATCGGGAACCGACGGCGGCAGCCGGCAGCGGGGAGCGCCCCCCGCGCAGCTCCAGGTAGCGGGGCCTGAGGGGCGGGAGCGGCCTGAGGGGGTCAAGGCCTGAGGGGGGGCGCGGCCTGGGCGGGAAGCGCGGCCTGAGGGGGCCCGGCCCCCAAATCCCGGCATTTGGAGGGGGCAGCGTCTCCCCTTCCCTCGGAAAATCCCGGGAGTCCGGGGTCATGGTCGTCCCCCCCATTCCTGGAATTTTGGAGGGTCACGGTCACTCCTTGCGACGGAAAAATCCCGGGATCGGGGGGGTCACGGTCACCCCCTCCCGTCCCAAAAACCGGGATTTGGAGGGGTCGTGTTCACCTGGTCCCACCAAAAAACCCCGGGATTTGTGGGGACCAGGATCATCCCCCCCCATCCTGAAATTTTGGGGGGGTCACGGTCAGTCCTTCCCCATCCCAAATGCGGGATTGGGAGCGGTCACGGTCATCCCCTCCGCCCTGGAATTCCGGGAGTTTGGGATCGGTGTGAGGAATCTGGCACGGGGAGTTTGGGGTCGGGATGGGGGCCTTGGGATCCTGGGTATTTGGGAAAACCCCAAAATCCCCACGGAATCCCTGCCCAGATCCCCCCAGCCCTTGTGGGAATCCTGGGAAAATGGAGAATCCCGAGAAAATCGGGAATCCCGAGCCCTCCTGGCTCCCGCGGGGCTGGAGCCGTTCCCTTTCCCTTTGGGATTTTCGGGCTCTCGGGATCGGGGTCGGCAGATGGCTGGGAATTAATCCCCGCCAAATCCCGGGAATTTAATCCCGGACGGATCCCCTGGGATGAGGCAGCTGCGCCGGGATGGGGGGGGTTGGAATTGTGGATCTAGGGTTGGGATGGGGATTTAGGGTTGGGAGTTTGGGACTGGGGGTTTAGGATCAGGGTGGGGAGTTCGGGCTCAGTTTGGGAAGCGGGATTTGCCCCAGCTGGAATTTCGGGACAATCCCTCCCTGTTTGTGGCTGTCCCGCTTTCCCCGCCTCCCTTTCCGTAGCAAACTCAGCCGGGAGGGATTTTCCAAACCCCGCTCCAGCTCCTCCAGGCTTTTCCAGGCGCGTTTGTTCCCAGAAAGATGCTGGGATTGGGAGGAATTGGGGTGGGGGAAATCCGGGATCCCGAGGATTTGGGTGTGAATGGGAGAGGACAAAGAGCGCAATTCCCCCCTGGAAAACAATTCCCGTGATAAAAGGGCAGGAAAAAGGGGATTTGGGAAGGAAAAGGCCTCTCCCGAGGCACATTCCAGAGGGAAAATGAATGGAATTCCACCTGCTTGGGGTTTTCCAGAAGCCTCAGACCCAGAGAGAATTCGGGGCTGGAATTGGGGTTGGATTCACAGCTCTTACCCCCTTTTCCCAGTTTTCCCAGCTGGAAAACCATGGCATCAAAACCCCTCTTCATGAAAGGAATTTTTTCCTTAAAGAAACTAAAAATTCTTGGAGCTTCCAGGCCTGCTGGAAGTGCCGGAATTCCGGTATTCCAGGGGTTAACAGGGAATTGTTGTCCCTGGGATGTGACAGATCCTGGGCCTGGCTCCAGGTTGGGAACAGGGCCGGGACTGAGCCGGGATGGGGCCGGAATTGCCGGGATGGGCTCGGATCCCGAGGCTGTCCCGGCAGTTCCGGGAATTTAGGGGATGGATCGGCAGCAGGGCTGGGGTGGCAAGGGGATTTTTGGGATGGCAAGGGGATTTTTGGGACAGAAGGGGGGATTTTTGGTTACCCCCTTTTCCCAGTTTTCCCAGCTGGAAAACCATGGCATCAAAACCCCTCTTCATGAAGGAATTTTTTCCTTAAAGAAACCAAAAATTCTTGGAGCTTCCAGGCCTGCTGGAAGTGCCGGAATTCCGGGATTCCAGGGGTTAACAGGGAATTGTTGTCCCTGGGATGTGACAGATCCTGGGCCTGGCTCCAGGTTGGGAACAGGGCCGGGACTGAGCCGGGATGGGGCCGGAATTGCCGGGATGGGCTCGGATCCCGAGGCTCTCCCGGCAGTTCCGGGAATTTAGGGGATGGATCGGCAGCAGGGCTGGGGGTGGCAAGGGGATTTTTGGGATGGCAAGGGGATTTTTGGGATGGCAAGGGGATTTTTGGGATGGCAAGGGGATTTTTGGGACGGAGGGGAGGCGTTTGAGGTGGAAGGGGAACGGAAAAGGCTGCGGAACATCGGCATTCCCTGGGGTTTATCGGGATGGGAACCCAGGAGTTCCCCCTTGCAAACCCCAAATTCCCCCCGCCCGGTTCCCAGCCATGGGGGACATGAAAACCCCGGATTTCGACGACCTCCTGGCCGCCTTCGACATCCCCGACATCGACGCCAACGAGGCCATCCACTCGCACCACGAGGAGCCCGAGCCCCACGGCAAGCAGCTGCCGGGGGAGCCGGGCGCCGCGGCGGCCGCCGAGCACGTCCTGCCGCACCCCGACATCTCGGCCGTCAGCGTCATCGTCAAGAACACCGTGTGCCCCGAGCAGCTGGACGGCAAGGACGGGCACGGGCTGGCGCCCCGGCTGCTGCAGAACGGCTTCGCCGCCCCCGAGGGGCCCCGCTCGCCCGGCGCCCGCGGCGGCGCCGACGCCGCCTCAGCCAACGGCGACTGCTGGGCCAAGGAGAAGAACGCCAAGGCCTTGGACCTGTTCTCCCACTTCAGCCCCGAGCCCGGCGAGGACGGCGCCAATCTGATCGACAGAGCCCGCGAGTGCAAAGGCAAGGAGAAGCCCCTGGCCGTGCCCTCGCCCGGCCCGGGCCTGGAGTGCAAGGAGCCGCTGGCGGGAGCCGCCGAGAGCCTGGACGCGGCTTTCCCCGCGCCCTTCCGCGCGGGAGCGGCCGGCGACGCGGCCCACCCCGTCGCCTGCGTCAAGAAGGAGGAGTCGGACCCCGAGGAGGCTCCGGCCAGGGGCTGCAGCCCCAAGGGGCTGGTGCTGGATCACCTCAAGTCCGTCACCGTGCGCTACTCGGCCGAGGACTCCGCCGTGGCGGCGTGGCCGGCGGCGGAGCCGGCGGCGCCGGACGGCGGCAGCGGCGCCGCGGCTGAGCTCAAACGCTCGCCCGGGAGCCCTCGGGAGCCCTTCTCCTCCCCGGGAATTCCCATCCCGCCTTCCCCCAAGCAGCTCTCCTTGAAGGAAGAGCGGGGAATGCTGGGGAAATCCGTGGGGAGCCCTCCGAGCGTTTCCAGCGGCGAGGAGGAGGAGGAGGAGGAGGAGGAGGAGGAAAGCACCAACTCGCCGTCCTCCAGCTCCTCGCGGCCGCTCAAGGTGCGCATCAAGACCATCAAAACCTCCTGTGGCAGCATCACCAGGACGGTCACCAGGGTGTCCTCGGACTCGGAGCCGCCCTGCAGCAAAATCCCCAGCGAGCAGAATTCCCAGGAATCCTTGGAATGTCCTGCCGCCATCGCCGCGGAGGCAGCGGCCAAGGAGAAGTCGGAGCTCTCCAGCCCCCTGAAAAACACGGAGGGGCCGAAAATCGTCAGCGTCCAGCTGGGCAACGGCACCAAGCTGAAGGGCACGGTGCTGCCCGTGGCCACCATCCAGAGCGCCAGCAGCGCCATGCTCATCGCCGCCAGCGTGGCCCAGCAGAAATCCGTGGTTCTGCCGGGCAAAACCGGGAAATCCGTGGCTAAGAACATCCTGAACCTGGTGCCGCAGCCCCTGCCCAAGGGGGACGGCAGGAGCGGCGGCGGCGCCAAGGCCAACGGCGGCGCGGCGCCGCCCAAGGCGGCGCCCAGCGTGGCCGGCACCGTCATCTCCCGCAGCCAGTCCAGCCTGGTGGAGGCCTTCAACAAGATCCTCAACAGCAAGAACCTGCTGCCCACCTACAAACCCAACCTGAGCCCCCCGGCCGAGTCCAGCCTGGCCCTGCCGCCCTCGGGCTACCGCTGCCTGGAGTGCGGCGACGCCTTCGCGCTGGAGAAGAGCCTGGCGCGGCACTACGACCGGCGCAGCATGCGCATCGAGGTCACCTGCAACCACTGCACCAAGCGCCTGGTGTTCTTCAACAAGTGCAGCCTGCTGCTGCACGCCCGCGAGCACAAGGACAAGGGGCTGGTGATGCAGTGCTCGCACCTGGTGATGCGGCCCATCGCGCTGGAGCAGATGATCGGCCAGCCCGACATCACCCCGCTGGTGTCGCTGGCCCTGCCCGCCGGCAAGGTGGCCCAGGAGGGCGGGGGCGCGGCGCAGGAGCTGCCGGTGCTGCCCCTGGGCTCGGAGCAGAGCAGCTACAGCTGCTTCAGGTGCCTGGAGTGCAAGGAGCAGTGCAAGGACAAGGCCGGGCTGGCGGCGCACTTCCAGCAGGTCGGGGTGGCCACCAGCAGCAGCAGCACGGTGAGAGCGGGGAGGCTGGGACAGCTGGGCTGGGCGTGGGGAGGGCACTGGGAGGTGGTTCAGAGTGGTGGGAGGGCACTGGGAGGTGGTTCAGAGTGGTGGGAGGTGGTTCAGAGTGGTGGGAGCACAGTGGGAGATGGTTCAGAGTGGTGGGAGGTGGTTCAGAGGGGTGGGAGGTGGTTCAGAGTGGTGGGAGGGCAGTGGGAGGTGGTTCAGAGTGGTGGGAGCACAGTGGGAGATGGTTCAGAGTGGTGGGAGGGGGTTCAGAGTGGTGGGAGATGGTTCAGAGTGGTGGGAGGGCAGTGGGAGGTGGCAGGAGATGGTGAGGAATGCTGGGAAGGTGGTGGAGGAGTGGGAGGGTGGTGGGAGATGGTGGGAAAACAGTGAGAACATCCAGCTTTGGATCCATGGATCCATTCATCCCAGCAGTCCTGATCCCTGTTGGAATTTTCCCAGAACTGGTTGGGATCCTGGTTTCAGGTGGAATTTTCCCAGAGCTTTTCAGGATCCTGGTTTCAGGTGGAATTCTCCCAGAACTCTTTGTGATCCTGATCCCTGTTGGAATTTTCCCAGAGCTTTTCAGGATCCTGATCCCTGTTGGAATTTTCCCAGAGCTTTTCAGGATCCTGGTTTCAGGTGGAATTCTCCCAAGAACTCTTTGTGCTCCTGATCCCTGGTGGAATTTTCCCAGAGCTTTTCAGGATCCTGGTTTCAGGTGGAATTCTCCCAGAACTCTTTGTGATCCTGATCCCTGTTGGAATTTTCCCAGAGCTTTTCAGGATCCTGGTCCCTGTTAGAATTTTCCCAGAACTGGTTGGGATCCTGGTTTCAGGTGGAATTTTCCCAGAGCTTTTCAGGATCCTGGTTTGAGCAGGAATTCTCCCAGAACTCTTTGGGATCCTGATCCCTGTTGGAATTTTCCCAGAGCTTTTCAGGATCCTGGTTTCAGGTGGAATTCTCCCAGAACTCTTTGTGCTCCCGATCCCAGCTGGCAATTTTCCAAGATCCAGAACCGTTTCAGCCCCGTTCCTTGGTGGATTTTCCCCGGAGCCGTTTGCCCTCCCGGTCTGAGTCCGGATTCTCCCCGGGGTGCCGGCGCGGCGTTGCGGCGCTCCTGGCTGACGCCGGCTGCTGTTGCAGGTGTGCTCGGCGTGCCCCATGATCCTGGCCAACCGCTGCAGCTTCAGCGCGCACCAGCGCATGCACCGCAGCCGCCCGCCCCACGTCTGCCCCGAGTGCGGCGGCAACTTCCTGCTGGCCAACTTCGAGTCCCACCTCAAGGACTCCTGCCTGCACTTCTCCCGCAGGGTGGGCTACAGGTGCGAGCCAGGGAATGCCGGGAATGCCGGGAATGCCGGGGTGGGGGGCACTGGGAAGGTGCAGAAAGGGAGCCCACCGTGGAGCGTGGTGGGAATCTCCTGTGGGTCGACTTGGAGTCGCACCTCGAGGACTCCTCACACAGGGACAGGAGCCAGGGAATCCTTGTTTGGGATCCTGGTTCCAGGTGGGATTTTCCCAGGACTGTTTTGGATCCCGCTTCCCATCGGGAATTCTCAGAACTTGTTTGGATCCTGGTCCTTGATGGAATTCTCCCAGAACTGCCTTGGATCCTGGTTCCAGTTGGGAATTCTCCCAGGACTGGTTTGGGATCCCGGTCTCCGTGGGGAATTTTCCCAGAAGTCCTTTGTATCCCGGTCTCTATGGGGAATTCCTAGAACTTGTTTGGGATCCTGGTTCCAGTGGGAATTCCCAGATCTTGTTTGGGATCCCGGTGTCCGTGGGGAATCTTCCAGGTGTCCCAGCTGCTCCGTGGTGTTCGGCGGCGTCAATTCCATCAAGTCCCACATCCAGAGCTCCCACTGCGAGGTGTTCCACAAGTGTCCCATCTGCCCCATGGCCTTCAAGTCCGCCCCCAGCGCCCACGCCCACGTCTACACGCAGGATCCTGATCCCTGTTGGAATTTTCCCAGAGCTTTTCAGGATCCTGGTTTCAGCAGGAATTCTCCCAGAACTCTTTGGGATCCTGATCCCTGTTGGAATTTTCCCAGAGCTTTTCAGGATCCTGGTTTCAGCAGGAATTCTCCCAGAACTCTTTGGGATCCTGATCCCTGTTGGAATTTTCCCAGAGCTTTTCAGGATCCTGGTTTCAGCAGGAATTCTCCCAGAACTCTTTGGGATCCTGATCCCTGTTGGAATTTTCCCAGAGCTTTTCAGGATCCTGGTTTCAGGTGGAATTCTCCCAGAACTCTTTGTGCTCCCGATCCCAGCTGGCAATTTTCCAAGATCCAGAACCGTTTCAGCCCCGTTCCTTGGTGGATTTTCCCCGGAGCCGTTTGCCCTCCCGGTCTGAGTCCGGATTCTCCCCGGGGTGCCGGCGCGGCGTTGCGGCGCTCCTGGCTGACGCCGGCTGCTGTTGCAGGTGTGCTCGGCGTGCCCCATGATCCTGGCCAACCGCTGCAGCTTCAGCGCGCACCAGCGCATGCACCGCAGCCGCCCGCCCCACGTCTGCCCCGAGTGCGGCGGCAACTTCCTGCTGGCCAACTTCGAGTCCCACCTCAAGGACTCCTGCCTGCACTTCTCCCGCAGGGTGGGCTACAGGTGCGAGCCAGGGAATGCCGGGAATGCCGGGAATGCCGGGGTGGGGGGCACTGGGAAGGTGCAGAAAGGGAGCCCACCGTGGAGCGTGGTGGGAATCTCCTGTGGGTCGACTTGGAGTCGCACCTTGAGGACTCCTCACACAGGGACAGGAGCCAGGGAATCCTTGTTTGGGATCCTGGTTCCAGGTGGGATTTTCCCAGGACTGGTTTGGATCCCGCTTCCCACTGGGAATTCTCAGAACTTGTTTGGATCCTGGTCCTTGATGGAATTCTCCCAGAACTGCCTTGGATCCTGGTTCCAGTTGGGAATTCTCCCAGGACTGGTTTGGGATCCCGGTCTCCGTGGGGAATTTTCCCAGAAGTCCTTTGTATCCCGGTCTCTATGGGGAATTCCTAGAACTTGTTTGGGATCCTGGTTCCAGTGGGAATTCCCAGATCTTGTTTGGGATCCCGGTGTCCGTGGGGAATCTTCCAGGTGTCCCAGCTGCTCCGTGGTGTTCGGCGGCGTCAATTCCATCAAGTCCCACATCCAGAGCTCCCACTGCGAGGTGTTCCACAAGTGTCCCATCTGCCCCATGGCCTTCAAGTCCGCCCCCAGCGCCCACGCCCACGTCTACACGCAGCACCCCGGCTTCAGCAACCAGCAGTCCAAGTGAGTGCTCCCAAATTCCCCAGTCCCAGCTCCTTCCAGCGCCCAGCATCCCTGGCAGCCGGCTCGGCTTCAGCCTGGAAAAAGGTTGGGAGGGTTTGGGAAGAAGAGGTTGGGATGGGAGGTTTGGGAAGAAGAGGCTGGGATGGGAGGTTTGGGAAGAAGAGGCTGGGATGGGAGGTTTGGGAAGAAGAGGCTGGGATGGGAGGTTTGGGAAGAAGAGGCTGGGATGGGAGGTTTGGGAAGAAGAGGCTGGGATGGGAGGTTTGGGAAGAAGAGGCTGGGATGGGAGGTTTGGGAAGAAGAGGCTGGGATGGGAGGTTTGGGAAGAAGAGGCTGGGATGGGAGGTTTGGGAAGAAGAGGCTGGGATGGGAGGTTTGGGAAGAAGAGGCTGGGATGGGAGGTTTGGGAAGAAGAGGCTGGGATGGGAGGTTTGGGAAGAAGAGGCTGGGATGGGAGGTTTGGGAAGAAGAGGCTGGGATGGGAGGTTTGGGAAGAAGAGGCTGGGATGGGAGGTTTGGGAAGAAGAGGCTGGGATGGGAGGTTTGGGAAGAAGAGGCTGGGATGGGAGGTTTGGGAAGAAGAGGCTGGGATGGGAGGTTTGGGAAGAAGAGGCTGGGATGGGAGGTTTGGGAAGAAGAGGCTGGGATGGGAGGTTTGGGAAGAAGAGGCTGGGATGGGAGGTTTGGGAAGAAGAGGCTGGGATGGGAGGTTTGGGAAGAAGAGGCTGGGATGGGAGGTTTGGGAAGAAGAGGCTGGGATGGGAGGTTTGGGAAGAAGAGGCTGGGATGGGAGGTTTGGGAAGAAGAGGCTGGGATGGGAGGTTTGGGAAGAAGAGGCTGGGATGGGAGGTTTGGGAAGAAGAGGCTGGGATGGGAGGTTTGGGAAGAAGAGGCTGGGATGGGAGGTTTGGGAAGAAGAGGCTGGGATGGGAGGTTTGGGAAGAAGAGGCTGGGATGGGAGGTTTGGGAAGAAGAGGCTGGGATGGGAGGTTTGGGAAGAAGAGGCTGGGATGGGAGGTTTGGGAAGAAGAGGCTGGGATGGGAGGTTTGGGAAGAAGAGGCTGGGATGGGAGGTTTGGGAAGAAGAGGCTGGGATGGGAGGTTTGGGAAGAAGAGGCTGGGATGGGAGGTTTGGGAAGAAGAGGCTGGGATGGGAGGTTTGGGAAGAAGAGGCTGGGATGGGAGGTTTGGGAAGAAGAGGCTGGGATGGGAGGTTTGGGAAGAAGAGGCTGGGATGGGAGGTTTGGGAAGAAGAGGCTGGGATGGGAGGTTTGGGAAGAAGAGGCTGGGATGGGAGGTTTGGGAAGAAGAGGCTGGGATGGGAGGTTTGGGAAGAAGAGGCTGGGATGGGAGGTTTGGGAAGAAGAGGCTGGGATGGGAGGTTTGGGAAGAAGAGGCTGGGATGGGAGGTTTGGGAATGCCTTGCTGTGGGAATGGAGTTGGTGGTGGAATTGGCTGGAAGATTTGGGAATGTGGTTCTTGGGAATGATGGATGTGGTGATCCCAGAGAGCTTTTCCTGCCTGAGCAATTCCAGGATTCCAGGATTGGGAGGACTGGGAATATTCCATGATTGGCAGAACCTCCTCCGTGGGTGGGATGAGCTCAGTTCCCACCTTCCTTTTTCCATCCCTTTTTCCCTCCTTTTCCCCCTCCCTTTTCTCTGTTTCTCCCTCCTTTCCCATTTCCTTTCCCCTCCCTTTTTCCTTCCCTTTTTTCTCTCCTATTCCCTCCTTTCCCTTTCCCTTTCCCCTTCCCTTATTGGGAATTCTGCCTCCTGGACCCCCCTGGGTGGTGGGAGTGGGGATTATTTTTGGGATAATTCCTGACTGGATGAACGATGCCAGACGGGATTTGGGGGGAAATTGAGTTCCTGCCTCCAGCTGGAGTGGGAATCCTGCCCCCTGGACCCCCCTGGGTCGTGAGAATGGGGATTATTTTTGGGATAATTCCTGACTGGATGAACGATGCCAGACGGGATTTGGGGGGAAATTGAGTTCCTGCCTCCAGCTGGAGTGGGAATTCTGCCTCCTGGAGCCCCTGGATGGTGGGAATGGGGATTATTTTTGGGATAATTCCTGAGGGGATGAACGACGCCAAACGCGTTTTTGGGGGAAATTGAGTTCCTGCCTCCAGCTTCCCCTTCCCTTATTTCTCTCTTTCCCCTCCTTTCCCCTCTCCCCTCCCTCTGGCCTGCCCGCCCCGTTTTGCCCGTTTTGCCCCGTTTTTGCCCCGTTTTTGGCCCAGGATGATCTACAAGTGTGCCATGTGTGACACGGTGTTCACGCACAAGCCGCTGCTGTCGTCGCATTTCGATCAGCACCTGCTGCCGCAGCGCGTCAGCGTCTTCCGCTGCCCGCAGTGCCCGCTGCTCTTCGCCCAGAAGCGCACCATGCTCGAGCACCTCAAGGTCAGGCCCCGGCCCGGGCAGAATTCCAGCTGGGAATGGCGAAATTCCGGCTGGGAATGGCGAAATTCCGGCCAAAAGTGGCGAAATTCCGGCCAAAAGTGGCAAAATTCCAGCCAAGGTTCTGGCCGGAAATGATGGAGATTTCCCCCAAACTGGGGAGGATGGGAGTGGGGAGTGCTCGGGGTGCAGAAACGCAGCGTGCTCGAGCACCTCGAGGTCGGGCACCATCCCGGATGGAATTCCAGCTGGGAATGCTGAAATTCCGGCCAAAAATGGCGAAATTCCAGCTGGAAATGATGGAAATTTCCCCTAAACTGGGGGAAGTGGGAATGGGGTGCAGAAACGCAGCACGCTGGATCCACCTGAAGGTCAGACAGAATTCCAGCTGGGAATGGAGGAATTCCAGCTGGAAAAGCCAAAATTCCAGCCCCACTTGGGTGGGCGGAGGGAGATGGGAGCGGTGGCCTGGGTGGGGTTTAAGGATCTTTTCCACCCCAAACCATCCCGGGATTCCCTGTCCTGGTCTCTTTGGGATTTCCGGGCTAAATCCTGCATCCTGCCCGGGTTATTCCATGGATTCCCCACCCTGGCACACCGGGAACATCCCAACCCCCCCCGTCTCCCCTTCCCAGAACACCCACCAGCCCCAGAAATCCAAGGACGACTCTTCCAAGAGGTCGGCGGCGCTGCTGACGCCCAAGCCGGAGCCGCTGGAGGCGCCGGCGCCGCGGAACTCCGAGGATTCCTCGAGCTCCTCGGAGGAGGACGAGCCGCCGAGCTCGCCGGAGCTGCGCCGCGCCAAGCGCGGCCGCTTCCCGCGCAAGGCCGGCAGCAAGGCCAAGGGCGGCGGCTGGACCTGCGGCGTCTGCCACTCCTGGTTCCCCGAGCGCGACGAGTACGTGGCGCACATGAAGAGGGAGCACGGCAAGGTGGGAATTCCTGGGAATGGCCCGCGGGGCCGGAGGATTTGGGAATGGGAATGAGGTATTTGGGATAATTCCCAGCTGGATGAACAGTCCCAGGCAGGAGCAGGGATTGGAGGGAAAACCAAATTCCCACCTCTAGCTGCAGTGGGAATCCTGACTTTGGATCCCCCTGGATCCCTCCTGGGTTTTTCCTGGGTTTTTCCAGGATCCTCAGCGGTTTTATCCCGGGTTTCCCCGGGATCCCTCCCGGTTTTATCCCAGTTTTTCCCGGGATCCCTCCCGGTTTTATCCCAGTTTTTCCCGGGATCCCTCACGGTTTTATCCCAGTTTTTCCCGGGATCCCTCACGGTTTTTCCCCGGGTTTCTCTGGGATCCCTCCTGGGTTTTCTCCCAGTTTTCCCCGGGATGCTGAGCTGGGTTTTTCCCAGTTTTCCCCGGGATGCTGAGCTGGGTTTTTCCCAGTTTTCCCCGGGATGCTGAGCTGGGTTTTTCCCAGTTTTCCCCGGGATGCTGAGCTGGGTTTTTCCCAGTTTTCCCCGGGATGCTGAGCTGGGTTTTTCCCAGTTTTCCCCGGGATGCTGAGCTGGGTTTTTCCCAGTTTTCCCCGGGATGCTGAGCTGGGTTTTTCCCAGTTTTCCCCGGGATGCTGAGCTGGGTTTTTCCCAGTTTTCCCCGGGATGCTGAGCTGGGTTTTTCCCAGTTTTCCCCGGGATGCTGAGCTGGGTTTTTCCCAGTTTTCCCCGGGATGCTGAGCTGGGTTTTTCCCAGTTTTCCCCGGGATGCTGAGCTGGGTTTTTCCCAGTTTTCCCCGGGATGCTGAGCTGGGTTTTTCCCAGTTTTCCCCGGGATGCTGAGCTGGGTTTTTCCCAGTTTTCCCCGGGATGCTGAGCTGGGTTTTTCCCAGTTTTCCCCGGGATGCTGAGCTGGGTTTTTCCCAGTTTTCCCCGGGATGCTGAGCTGGGTTTTTCCCAGTTTTCCCCGGGATGCTGAGCTGGGTTTTTCCCAGTTCCCAGTTTTTCCCGGGATCCCTCCCGGTTTTATCCCAGTTTTTCCCGGGATCCCTCACGGTTTTTCCCCGGGTTTCTCTGGGATCCCTCCTGGGTTTTCTCCCAGTTTTCCCCGGGATGCTGAGCTGGGTTTTTCCCAGTTTTCCCCGGGATGCTGAGCTGGGTTTTTCCCAGTTTTCCCCGGGATGCTGAGCTCTTTTCCCGCAGTCGGTGAAGAAGTTCCCGTGCCACCTGTGCGAGCGCTCCTTCTGCTCGGCGCCGAGCCTGCGCCGCCACGTCCGCGTCAACCACGAGGGCATCAAACGCGTCTACCCCTGCCGGTACCACGGGGAGAGCCGGAATGCCGTGGGAAGGGATCCGTGGGGTGCCAGGAGTGGGGAGGGGGCGGCTGGGAGAGCGGGAATGCCGTGGGAAGGGATCACTGGGGTGCCAGGAGTGGGGAGGGGGCGGCTGGGAGAGCGGGAATGCCGTGGGAAGGGATCACTGGGGTGCCAGGAGTGGGGAGGGGGCGGCTGGGAGAGCGGGAATGCCGTGGGAAGGGATCAGTGGGGTGCCAGGAGTGGGGAGGGGGCGGCTGGGAGAGCGGGAATGCCGTGGGAAGGGATCAGTGGGGTGCCAGGAGTGGGGAGGGGGCGGCTGGGAGAGCGGGAATGCCGTGGGAAGGGATCAGTGGGGTGCCAGGAGTGGGGAGGGGGCGGCTGGGAGAGCGGGAATGCCGTGGGAAGGGATCAGTGGGGTGCCAGGAGTGGGGAGGGGGCGGCTGGGAGAGCGGGAATGCCGTGGGAAGGGATCAGTGGGGTGCCAGGAGTGGGGAGGGGGCGGCTGGGAGAGCGGGAATGCCGTGGGAAGGGATCAGTGGGGTGCCAGGAGTGGGGAGGGGGCGGCTGGGAGAGCGGGAATGCCGTGGGAAGGGATCAGTGGGGTGCCAGGAGTGGGGAGGGGGCGGCTGGGAGAGCGGGAATGCCGTGGGAAGGGATCAGTGGGGTGCCAGGAGTGGGGAGGGGGCGGCTGGGAGAGCGGGAATGCCGTGGGAAGGGATCAGTGGGGTGCCAGGAGTGGGGAGGGGGCGGCTGGGAGAGCGGGAATGCCGTGGGAAGGGATCAGTGGGGTGCCAGGAGTGGGGAGGGGGCGGCTGGGAGAGCGGGAATGCCGTGGGAAGGGATCAGTGGGGTGCCAGGAGTGGGGAGGGGGCGGCTGGGAGAGCGGGAATGCCGTGGGAAGGGATCAGTGGGGTGCCAGGAGTGGGGAGGGGGCGGCTGGGAGAGCGGGAATGCCGTGGGAAGGGATCAGTGGGGTGCCAGGAGTGGGGAGGGGGCGGCTGGGAGAGCGGGAATGCCGTGGGAAGGGATCAGTGGGGTGCCAGGAGTGGGGAGGGGGCGGCTGGGAGAGCGGGAATGCCGTGGGAAGGGATCAGTGGGGTGCCAGGAGTGGGGAGGGGGCGGCTGGGAGAGCGGGAATGCCGTGGGAAGGGATCAGTGGGGTGCCAGGAGTGGGGAGGGGGCGGCTGGGAGAGCGGGAATGCCGTGGGAAGGGATCAGTGGGGTGCCAGGAGTGGGGAGGGGGCGGCTGGGAGAGCGGGAATGCCGTGGGAAGGGATCAGTGGGGTGCCAGGAGTGGGGAGGGGGCGGCTGGGAGAGCGGGAATGCCGTGGGAAGGGATCAGTGGGGTGCCAGGAGTGGGGAGGGGGCGGCTGGGAGAGCGGGAATGCCGTGGGAAGGGATCAGTGGGGTGCCAGGAGTGGGGAGGGGGCGGCTGGGAGAGCGGGAATGCCGTGGGAAGGGATCAGTGGGGTGCCAGGAGTGGGGAGGGGGCGGCTGGGAGAGCGGGAATGCCGTGGGAAGGGATCAGTGGGGTGCCAGGAGTGGGGAGGGGGCGGCTGGGAGAGCGGGAATGCCGTGGGAAGGGATCAGTGGGGTGCCAGGAGTGGGGAGGGGGCGGCTGGGAGAGCGGGAATGCCGTGGGAAGGGATCAGTGGGGTGCCAGGAGTGGGGAGGGGGCGGCTGGGAGAGCGGGAATGCCGTGGGAAGGGATCAGTGGGGTGCCAGGAGTGGGGAGGGGGCGGCTGGGAGAGCGGGAATGCCGTGGGAAGGGATCAGTGGGGTGCCAGGAGTGGGGAGGGGGCGGCTGGGAGAGCGGGAATGCCGTGGGAAGGGATCAGTGGGGTGCCAGGAGTGGGGAGGGGGCGGCTGGGAGAGCGGGAATGCCGTGGGAAGGGATCAGTGGGGTGCCAGGAGTGGGGAGGGGGCGGCTGGGAGAGCGGGAATGCCGTGGGAAGGGATCAGTGGGGTGCCAGGAGTGGGGAGGGGGCGGCTGGGAGAGCGGGAATGCCGTGGGAAGGGATCAGTGGGGTGCCAGGAGTGGGGAGGGGGCGGCTGGGAGAGCGGGAATGCCGTGGGAAGGGATCAGTGGGGTGCCAGGAGTGGGGAGGGGGCGGCTGGGAGAGCGGGGGAATCGAGGTTTAATTCCTAGGGAAATCAGGGTTTAATTCCCAGGAAAATCAGGGTTTAATTCCCAAGGAATCAGGGTTTAATTCCCAGGGAAATCAGGGCTTAATTCCCAAGGAATCAGGGTTTAATTCCCAGGGAAATCGGGGTTTAATTCCCAGGGAAATTGGGGTTTAATTCCCAAGAATTCCCAAGCAATGAGGGCTCAATTCCCACCTGCTCTGCGCAAGTTGGGAATTGAAATTCCAGGAATGAGAAGGGTTTGGGAAAGGACTCCAGGCTTTGTATCCATCTCGTCTGGGGTTGGAATTTGGGAATTCCGGCGGCAGAATTCCCGGGCAAACCAGGCTGCTCCGTTTCCAGGTACTGCACGGAGGGGAAGAGAACCTTCAGCAGCCGCCTGATCCTGGAGAAGCACATCCAGGTGCGGCACGGCATCAAGGTGACGGATCCCGCCCGCAGCCAGGAGGTCGTCATCGCCCGCGGCCCCTCCGGGCCCGCCCAGGTGGGATCATCCCGCCATTCCGGCGCTTCCTGGGAATTTCGGGGCCGGACTGGGGGGGGGGTTTATCCTGGAATTCCTGCTGGGAGCCCACAAATCCCAGCCCTACACTTTATCCGGGTGGGGAGGTTTCGGATCAGCGACTGCCCGGGTGGGGTTTTCTGGGAATTTCCCTGGAATTTCCTGGGAGTTTCAGCGTTCGTGGCAGGATCGGAGGCTCCTCATCCCGGAATTCCTTCTGGGAGCTGCCCCGCTTCCCAAGGGATTTCCCAGGAGCTCCTTGCTGGGCATTGCAGCCCCAGACCTTGTTGGGAATTCCCGGATTTTCCGCTTTTCCAGGCGCCCGGCCGCAAGCGCAAGCTCTCCTCGGACGACTCGTGCAGCGAGGAGCCCGACAGCACCACGCCCCCCGCCAAGACCCCCAAGGGCTGCGGGGCCAAGGCCCCGTTCCGCTGCAGGAAATGCGGCTTCCTGGCGGGGAGCCGGGCGGAATTCCAGGCGCACATCCCGCAGCACCGCACGGACGGGAATTCCCAGCAGTGCCGCGAGTGCGGGCTCTGCTTCACCTCCCAGATCTCCCTGAACCGCCACCGCTTCATCTCCCACAAGAAGAAGAAGGGGGCCGAGCCCGAGGATTCCTCGGGAAGCGCTTCCCAAGGGAAGGCCGAGGGCGGCGGGAATTCCGGCGGCGCCGAGGGGAGGCTGGAGTGCAAGGTGTGCGGGAGGGGCTTCGAGAGCCAGCTCAACCTCAAGACGCATTTCCGGACCCACGGGATGGCCTTCATCCGAGCCCGGCAGGGGGCCGAGGAGAACTGAGCCTTCGGGAATGCCGGGGTTCCTGGAATTCTGGGACTGAGCTCAGCCGAGCCCAGGAGAGCTGAGCCTTCGGGAATGCCGGGGTTCCTGGAATTCTGGGACTGAGCTCAGCCGAGCCCAGGAGAGCTGAGCCTTCGGGAATCCTGGGATTCCTGGAATTCTGGGACTGAGCTCAGCCGAACCGAGGAGAGCTGAGCCTTCAGGAATGCCGGGATTCCTGGAATTCTGGGACTGAGCTCAGCCGAACCGAGGAGAGCTGAGCCTTCAGGAATGCCGGGATTCCTGGAATTCTGGGACTGAGCTCAGCCGAGCTCAGAGGGAGCCGAGGAGAGCTGAGCCTTCCCGGGGTTCTGTGGGATCGGCTCCGAGCCCGGGAATCTCGGCATTCCCGAATTCCGGGATCAGCCCCCAGGACAACTGAGCATTCCCGGGAATCTCAGCATTCCTGGAATTCCAGATCAGGCCTGAGGAGAACTGAGCATTCCTGGGAATCTCAGAATTCCCGGAATTCCGGGATCGGCTCCAAGGCCGTGTACATAAAACTCCCCCGGGGCCCTTCCCAGTGTCCGAGGGAAAGTTGGGAATGGGATTGGGATGATCCCAGATGCCGCCGGGAATCCCCTGGGAATGTTGGATTTGGGGGGGATTTGGGGTTTCCAGGACCCCTCCAGGCCCTTCCCGGGAATTCCCGGATCCGGATGGGGCGGGGGAAGCTTTTCCAGCAAAATCCACTTTTTTTTGTTATTATTTTTGGGTTTTGTTTGTTTTTCCTGGATTTTTTTTTTTTTCCTGGTGAGTTTCGTTGGGAAAGAGGCAATTCCAGAGTCCTGGAATTCCGGAGGTCCCCAGGAAGGACACTGGGACACTCAGCTGAACATTCCCGAGGGAGCAGGAGGAGGAAAAAAGTTGGAAAAAAGGAGAGAAAAGAAGGAAAAGGAATAACGACCCAAAAAACCCCGCAGGATCGGGAAGGGATCCCTCAAATCCCAGCCTGAAGGAAAAGTGGGAAAACTGCTCCCAAATTCCGGGCTGAGGGTGGGGCTTGGGGGCTTTTCCAGCTTTTTTCCAGCTCCTCCTTCCCCTCGGGATCCGGGACCTTTCCCACTTCCAATCCCTACAAAGAAATCCTCTGGAAAAGCCCCTCGGGACTCGTCCCTCCAGAATTCCTGGAAGAATTCCCGGAATTCCCTCTGGATAACCTTCCCCTCTCCCTGTAAAGTTGTATCATACACTAAAACCCACGAATCCCAACAACTGCTGTGCTCCTTCTGGGATTTGGTTTGGTTTTCCAAGGTTTTTTTCCCTCTTTTTGTGTTTTTCGGGATGGCAGAAGCTGCTTTGGGGTTGATTTTATTTTTTCTTTTTGTTGTTTTTTTGGCTTTTTATTCCCAGTTTTTCTGACTTTTCCCAGCAGGAGTGAGGGGAGTTTTCCCTCCCCCTTTTCCCTGCAGGTGGATGGATGGAAAAAAGGGGGGAAAAAACTGGGAAAAATCAGGTGGAATCGGCCATTCCCAGAAATCCCCCAGGCCGGGTGTAAATACAGAGAAGAAATTAAAGTTTCTACGAGATTTAGAAGGAAAAAATTCCTAAAAAAAAAAAAAAAAATCTATGGAAAAATGGCTTTGGACCCACGGTTTTCCAGCATTTCAGTGCCTTGAGCTGGATTTGGGGTGGAGGGAGGGAGGGGCTGGAATTTCGGGAATGTTCCCCCCTGGAATGTTGGGGTTGGACTCCTGGAATTTCGGGAGTTTTGGGGATTTTGGGAATGTGCTGACGGAAAGCCGCGGGCTCGAGAGGCTCTCAGGAATTCTTTATTCTGTAGGAATCGATTCCATTAAACTCCAGTGGTTTCACCCTCGGTGCCCGGCTCGGCTCCTCCCGGGAATTCCCAGGAAAAGCTCCCGGGAATGGGAATGGGGAGGGGGGAGGGGCTGAGGGCTCCGCTGCATCCCCGAATTTTGGTCCTGCCCCCCAGAAAAGGGGCTTGGGAAGGGCTGGGGTCCCTCCCTGTCCCCTCCCGGTGTCCCCAGAGCCCCCTCCCCGGGGGGGGGTTGAAAATCCAAATTTTGGGGGTTTTTTTAAATGCTAAAAATTAACCAAAAAAAAAAAAAAAAGGGGGGGGGGGGCAGGGGGACGGGGGGGGGGGGAAGCAGGCCAGGCCCGGGGGAAGGGGGAGGGGAAACTCCAGGAAATTTTCCCTCCCTGGGAAGCTCTGGATCCTCCCTGATTTGGGATTTGGGATTTGGGATCGGGACCAGGCCCCCAAACCCCCCCCACCCCGTGTCCGACATTCCAGCCCCGCATTCCCGGCTGGAATTACCCGGGAAAGGAGGGGGAGTCCCAGCCCCGAATTCCTGGAATGGCGGGAATCCCACCGGGAATTCCCCACCTGGGAATTCCCCACCGGGAATCCCCCCCCCAGCCATCCCTGGCTGTCCCAGCAGAGGGAAGGACCCCACAGGGCCGGGAATTCCGGGAATTCCGGGATTTTGGGACTGCCAACCTCCAGGAGACCCCTCCCCCTTCCCATCCTGCACGTTCCATGGGACTGGGGGCGAATTCCAGGGAATTCCAGGTGGAGGAAAGGGGGATCCCCCCTCCCCCCCCCCTCCTTTCCCGCCCTTTTTCCCGGCTTTTTCATGGAATTCCGTCCGGTCTCTCAGCAGAGTCCAGGCCGGGAGCAGCCAAACCTCGGCCCCGGATCCGTGGCAGGGAACAACAACGGGAACCTCGGGATTCCTCGGGATTCTCCCGTTTCTCCCTGGGAACCTCGGGATTCCTCGGGATTCTCCCGTTTCTCCCTGGGAACCTCGGGATTCCTCGGGATTCTCCCGTTTCTTCCTGGGACGGGGAGGGGGGGGATTTTTCTTTTTTTTTGGTTTTTTTTTTCCTTTTTCCTCCGGGGAATTTTGTTGTTTGTTTGTTTGTTTGTTTGCTGTGTGTCTGCTGCTGCCTCTGGGGATTCACATGATGCCGTTGGTGAGGTACTGGAAGCCGTCGTAGAGCTTGGTGGTGATGGAGCGCATGGAGCCGTCCACCAGCTGCTCCACCAGCAGCTGCAGCTGCTCCTCCGTCAGGTTCATGTGGAAACGCTCCTTCAGGTGCCGGATGGTGGAGGAGCCGTGGAAGCAGGGCAGCTGGGAGCCTGGGACACGGGGAAAAAATGGGATAGAATGGGAAAAAATGGGATAAAATGGGGGGAAAAGGGCAGCTGGGAGCCTGGGAACGGGGAAAAATGGGAAAAAATGGGATAAAATGGGGGGAAAAGGGCAGCTGGGAGCCTGGGAACGGGGAAAAATGGGAAAAAATGGGATAAAATGGGGGGAAAAGGGCAGCTGGGAGCCTGGGAACGGGGAAAAATGGGAAAAAATGGGATAAAATGGGGGGAAAAGGGCAGCTGGGAGCCTGGGAACGGGGAAAAATGGGAAAAAATGGGATAAAATGGGGGGAAAAGGGCAGCTGGGAGCCTGGGAACGGGGAAAAATGGGAAAAAATGGGATAAAATGGGGGGAAAAGGGCAGCTGGGAGCCTGGGAACGGGGAAAAATGGGAAAAAATGGGATAAAATGGGGGGAAAAGGGCAGCTGGGAGCCTGGGAACGGGGAAAAATGGGAAAAAATGGGATAAAATGGGGGGAAAAGGGCAGCTGGGAGCCTGGGAACGGGGAAAAATGGGAAAAAATGGGATAAAATGGGGGGAAAAGGGCAGCTGGGAGCCTGGGAACGGGGAAAAATGGGAAAAAATGGGATAAAATGGGGGGAAAAGGGCAGCTGGGAGCCTGGGAACGGGGAAAAATGGGAAAAAATGGGATAAAATGGGGGGAAAAGGGCAGCTGGGAGCCTGGGAACGGGGAAAAATGGGAAAAAATGGGATAAAATGGGGGGAAAAGGGCAGCTGGGAGCCTGGGAACGGGGAAAAATGGGAAAAAATGGGATAAAATGGGGGGAAAAGGGCAGCTGGGAGCCTGGGAACGGGGAAAAATGGGGGAAGTGGGATAAAATGGGATAGAATGGGGGTAAATGGGATAGAATGGGATAAAATGGGGGTAAAAAAGCAGCTGGGAACGGGGAAAAATGGGAAAAAATGGGAAAAAATGGGAAAAAATGGGGGGAAACGGCAGCTGGGAGCTGGGAAAATGGGAAAAAATGGCAGCTGGGAGCCTGGAAATGGGGAAAAATGGGAGAGAATGGGAAAAAATGGGGGGAAATGGCAGCTGGGAGCCTGGAAATACGGGAAAAAATGGCAATTGGGAGCCCGGAAAAATGGGAAAAATGGGGAAAAACAGCAGCTGGGAGAATGGAAAAATGGAAAAAATGGGATAAAATGGGGGAAAATGGCAGCTGGGAGAATGGAGAAACGGGAAAAATTGGGATGGGAACCCAGAAAAAAATGGGGAAAAACAGTAGCTGGGAGAATGGAAAAATGGAAAAAATGGGATAAAATGGGGGAAAATGGCAGCTGGGAGCCTGGGAATGGGAAAAAATGGCAATTGGGAGCCCAGAAAAATGGGAAAAATGGGGAAAAACAGCAGCTGGGAGAAATGGGATAAAATGGGGGAAAATGGCAGCTGGGAGAATGGAGAAACGGGAAAAATTGGGATGGGAATGCTGGGAATCTGGGTTTGGAACGGGGGATGGGATCAGCGAGCTGCGAGCTCCCTGATGGATGGGATGGATCCGGGATGGGATGAGGGGAAAGGGTCTGGGGTCCTGGGAAATGGAGAACGGGAGGGGCTGCGGGGCTGGGGCGGGACCCCCACCTTGCTGCATGATCTCCACCATCTGCAGCACGCGGTCCATGTGCTTGCGGGCGGCGATCAGCCCCTGCAGCATCAGCATCTTGTAGTAGTTGAACATGTCCCCGTCCAGGCCGCCCATCACCTGCGGAGCGCGCGGGAACGGATGGGAACGGGAACGGGAACGGTGGGAATGGTGGGAATGGGAACGGTGGGAATGATGGGAATGGGAACGGTGGGAACGGGAACGGGAACGGTGGGGATGGGAACGGGAACGGTGGGAATGGGAATGATGGGAATGGGTGGGAATGGGAATGGGAACGGTGGGAATGGGAATGGGAACGGTGGGAATGGGAACGGGAACGGTGGGAACAGGAACGGGAACGGGAATGGGGCTGGGAATGCTGGGAATGGGAACGATGGGAAGGGAATGAGAACGGGAATGGGATGGGAATGGGAATGGGAACGGGAATGGCGACGGGAACGGGAACGGGAATGATGGGAAGGGATGGGAATGGGATGGGAATGGGAATGGGAACGGGAGCAGGAATGGGATGGGAATGGGAACGGGAACGGGGCCGGGAATGGGGGTGGGAATGGGGACGGGAACGGGGATGGGAATGGGAACGGGAACGGGAATGATGGGAAGGGCACACCAGGGGATGGGAATGATGGGAAGGGATGGGAATGGGAACGGGAACGGGGATGGGAATGGGAATGATGGGAAGGGATGGGAATGGGAACGGGAACGGGGATGGGAATGGGAATGGGAATGATGGGAAGGGATGGGAATGGGATGGGAATGGGTGGGAATGGGAATGGGAACGGGAACGGGGATGGGAGGGATGGGAATGGGTGGGAATGGGAATGGGAACGGGAACGGGGATGGGAATGGGAATGGGAATGATGGGAAGGGATGGGAATGGGATGGGAATGATGGGAAGGGATGGGAATGGGAACGGGAACGGGGATGGGAATGGGAATGATGGGAAGGGATGGGAATGGGAACGGGAACGGGGATGGGAACGGGAACGGGGCCGGGAATGGGGTTGGGAATGCAGCTGGGAACGGAGCGGGAATGGGAACGGGAACAGGGCTGGGAAGGGATGGGAATGGGGCTGGGAATGGGAACGGGAATGGATGGGAATGGATGGGAAGGGATGGGAATGGCTTGGAACCCCCTGGGAATGGCCTGGGAATGGCCTGAGACCCCTGGGAATGGCTGGGAATGGCCTGGAACCCCCTGGAACCCCCAGGACCCCCTGGGAATGGCTGGGAATGGCCTGGAACCCCTTGGGAATCCCCTGGAATTCCCTGGGAACCCTCTGGAAATGCCTTGGAACCCCTGGAACCCCCTGGAATTCCTTTGAACGCCCCCATCCTGGAACCCCCGAGACCCCCCCAGGACCCCCCGGGACCCCCTGGATCCCCCGGGACCCCCCGGACCCCCCGGGACCCCAAAAAAAATACAAAGAAAGTTGAAAAAAAAACGAAAAAATATTGAGAAGAATTCCCAAATTTCCCCAAACCCTGGGATTTACCTGTCCTTGACCTGCAGCAGGTAGCACACCAGGCAGTAGTGGTCAGACCCCATTAATTCATTAATTAACGGGTTAATTACCTGTCCTTGACCTGCAGCAGGTAGCACACCAGGCAGGAGCCCTCAGACCCCATTAAATCATTAATGAACCCATTAATTACCTGTCCTTGACCTGCAGCAGGCAGCACACCAGGCAGTACCTGTCAGATGCCATTAATAAATTAATTAATTTGTTAATTAAGGTGTTAATTACCTGTCCTTGACCTGCAGCAGGTAGCACACCAGGCAGTAGCTGTCAGACGCCATTAATTCATTAATTAATTTGTTAATTAAGGTGTTAATTACATGTCCTTGACCTGCAGCAGGTAGCACACGGGGCAGTAGTGTTCATACCCATCAATTCACTCATTACATCATTAATTAACCCATTAATTACCTGTCCTTGACCTGCAGCAGGTAGCACACCAGGCAGTAGCCCTCAGACCCATCAATTCACTCATTAAATCCTTAATGAACCCGTTAATTACCTGTCCTTGACCTGCAGCAGGTAGCACACCAGGCAGTAGCCGGCGCAGCTGCGCACGAAGTTGCGCTGGGCGCTCAGGAAGCTCTCGCTGTTGGAGCTGCCGTGCTCCTGCAGGAAATAATCCAGCAGCGACAGCTGCGACTGCTTCTTGATCTGGTGCAGGGACACGGCGCTGAGCACGGGCTCGATCATCCCGCTGTCCGCAGAGATCACCAGGATCTTGTAGGGCCGGATCCAGAGCGGCACGCGCTCCTGCTCCCAGATGGACTGCGGGCAGCGGGGGGAGAGGGAGCGGGGTGAGGACCAGGAATCCCGACTGGAAGGGGTTAAATGGGGGGATGGGAGAGATCAAATCCCGACTGGAACGGGGTCAGACAGGGGAAATGGGATAAATCCTGATGAGATCCCAGAAATCCTGACTGGATGGGGTTAAATGGGGGAAATGGGAGAGATCCGGGTGAGGTCCAGAAATCCCGACTGGAATGGGGCCAGATGGGGGGAAATGGGATAAATCCTGATGAGATCCCAGAAATCCTGACTGGATGGGGTTAAATGGGGGAAATGGGAGAGATCCGGGTGAGGTCCAGAAATCCCGACTGGAATGGGGCCAGATGGGGGGAAATGGGATAAATCCTGATGAGATCCCAGAAATCCTGACTGGATGGGGTTAAATGGGGGAAATGGGAGAGATCCGGGTGAGGTCCAGAAATCCCGACTGGAATGGGGCCAGATGGGGGGAAATGGGATAAATCCTGATGAGATCCCAGAAATCCTGACTGGATGGGGTTAAATGGGGGAAATGGGAGAGATCCGGGTGAGGTCCAGAAATCCCGACTGGAATGGGGCCAGATGGGGGGAAATGGGATAAATCCTGATGAGATCCCAGAAATCCTGACTGGATGGGGTTAAATGGGGGAAATGGGAGAGATCCGGGTGAGGTCCAGAAATCCCGACTGGAATGGGGCCAGATGGGGGGAAATGGGATAAATCCTGATGAGATCCCAGAAATCCTGACTGGATGGGGTTAAATGGGGGAAATGGGAGAGATCCGGGTGAGGTCCAGAAATCCCGACTGGAATGGGGCCAGATGGGGGGAAATGGGATAAATCCTGATGAGATCCCAGAAATCCTGACTGGATGGGGTTAAATGGGGGAAATGGGAGAGATCCGGGTGAGGTCCAGAAATCCCGACTGGAATGGGGCCAGATGGGGGGAAATGGGATAAATCCTGATGAGATCCCAGAAATCCTGACTGGATGGGGTTAAATGGGGGAAATGGGAGAGATCCGGGTGAGGTCCAGAAATCCCGACTGGAATGGGGCCAGATGGGGGGAAATGGGATAAATCCTGATGAGATCCCAGAAATCCTGACTGGATGGGGTTAAATGGGGGAAATGGGAGAGATCCGGGTGAGGTCCAGAAATCCCGACTGGAATGGGGCCAGATGGGGGGAAATGGGATAAATCCTGATGAGATCCCAGAAATCCTGACTGGATGGGGTTAAATGGGGGAAATGGGAGAGATCCGGGTGAGGTCCAGAAATCCCGACTGGAATGGGGCCAGATGGGGGGAAATGGGATAAATCCTGATGAGATCCCAGAAATCCTGACTGGATGGGGTTAAATGGGGGAAATGGGAGAGATCCGGGTGAGGTCCAGAAATCCCGACTGGAATGGGGCCAGATGGGGGGAAATGGGATAAATCCTGATGAGATCCCAGAAATCCTGACTGGATGGGGTTAAATGGGGGAAATGGGAGAGATCCGGGTGAGGTCCAGAAATCCCGACTGGAATGGGGCCAGATGGGGGGAAATGGGATAAATCCTGATGAGATCCCAGAAATCCTGACTGGATGGGGTTAAATGGGGGAAATGGGAGAGATCCGGGTGAGGTCCAGAAATCCCGACTGGAATGGGGCCAGATGGGGGGAAATGGGATAAATCCTGATGAGATCCCAGAAATCCTGACTGGATGGGGTTAAATGGGGGAAATGGGAGAGATCCGGGTGAGGTCCAGAAATCCCGACTGGAATGGGGCCAGATGGGGGGAAATGGGATAAATCCTGATGAGATCCCAGAAATCCTGACTGGATGGGGTTAAATGGGGGAAATGGGAGAGATCCGGGTGAGGTCCAGAAATCCCGACTGGAATGGGGCCAGATGGGGGGAAATGGGATAAATCCTGATGAGATCCCAGAAATCCTGACTGGATGGGGTTAAATGGGGGAAATGGGAGAGATCCCAGTGAGATCCCAGAAATCCCGACTGGAACGGGGCCAGATGGGGGGAAATGGGATAAATCCTGATGAAATCCCAGAAATCCTGACTGGAATGGGGCCAGATGGGGGGAAATGGGAGAAATCCTGATGAGATCCCAGAAATCCTGACTGGAATGGGGCCAGATGGGGGGAAATGGGAGAAATCCTGATGAGATCCCAGAAATCCTGACTGGAATGGGGCCAGATGGGGGGAAATGGGAGAAATCCTGATGAGATCCCAGAAATCCTGACTGGAATGGGGCCAGATGGGGGGAAATGGGAGAGATCCCAGTGAGATCCCAGAAATCCTGACTGGAATGGGGCCAGATGGGGGGAAATGGGAGAGATCCGGGTGAGGTCCAGAAATCCCGACTGGAATGGGGTCATGTGGGGGGAAATGGGAGAGATCCGGGTGAGATCCCGTAAATCCTGACTGGATGGGGTTAAATGGGGGGATGGGAGAGATCCCAGTGAGATCCCAGAAATCCTGACTGGATGGGGTTAAATGGGGGGAAATGGGAGAGATCCGGGTGAAATCCCATAAATCCTGACTGGAATGGGGTCAGACAGGGGAAATGGGAGAGATCCCAGTGAGATCCCAGAAAATCTGACTGGAACGGGGTCATGTGGGGGAAATGGGAGAGATCCCAGTGAGATCCCAGAAATCCTGACTGGATGGGGTTAAATGGGGGAAATGGGAGAGATCCTGGTGAAATCCCATAAAATCTGACTGGAACGGGGGCCAGACAGGGGGAAATGGGATAAATCCTGGAGAAATCCCATAAAATCTGGCTGGAGCAGGGTCAAAATTATGTGAAAATGAATAAATCCCGTTAAAATCCCAGCAAATCTGACTGAAATGGGGTTAAAATTATGTGAAATTTGAAAAAATCCTGGTACCATCCCATAAAAACAGAAAAAAATCCATAAAATAAAAAAAAAAATCCCGCTGAAATCCCAAAATATTTTTAAAAATCCACTAAAATCCCAGGAAATGCCATTAAACCCCATTAAAATCCCATTAAAAAAACCCCATGGAAACCAGGAATCCCACAGGCATGGGGGGATTTTTGGGAATTCCTGGGGAATTCTTCAGGAGCCGCCCCACCTGGAGCCATCGGAGCGCGTGGAATCCCCGGAAAACGCCGTAAAATCCCACAAAAACCCCCTAAACTCCCGTTTTTTTTTTTTTTGGGGATGAAGGGAACCTCTCCGGGACTGGGGATTTTTGGGAATTGCCTGGGATTGGCTCACCTGGAGCTGTTTGAGCACCTGGAATGCCAGCAGCTCCTGCCGGAGGTCGTCGCCGCACTTGACGATGACGGAGAGGAGGCGCCAGGAGGGGAGGTGCCCGTAGGGAGAGGCCTCCCGGATCCTCCTGAGGGAAAAGCGGGAAAAAACGGGATCCAGCCAGGAGCCTCCGGGCGGGAGAAGCTCTGGGGGGTCCCTGGGATTGCCTTTATGCCATCCAATCCCATTAAAACGAGCAAATCCCATGAAAATCCCATAAAACGCCAATAAAATCTCGTAAAATTCCATAAAAATCCCAACACAATCCCATTAGAACTATCAAATCCCATTAAAATCCCATTAAATGCCATTAAAATCCCATAAAATGCCAATAAATTCCATGAAAATGCCACCAAAATCCCATTAGAACTATCAAATCCCATTAAAATCCCATAAAATGCCATTAAAATCTCATAAAAGTCCATGAAATTCCATTAAAATCCCATTAAAATGAGCAAATCCCATTAAAATCCCAAAAAATGCCATTAAAATCTCATAAAAGTCCATGAAATTCCATTAAAATCCCATTAAAACGATCAAATCCCATTAAAATCCTATAAAACGCCAATAAAATCTCGTGAAATTTCATTAAAATACCAACAAAATCCCATTAGAACTATCAAATCCCATTAAAATCCCATAAAATGCCAATAAAATCTCATAAAATTCCAAGAAATTCCATGAAAATGCCACCAAAATCTCATTAGAACTATCAAATCCCATTAAAATCCCATTAAATGCCATTAAAATCCCATCGAAGTCCCATCAAATCCCATAAACCCCCACAAAATGCCATTAAAATCTTATATAAAAGTCCATGGAATTCCATTAAAATCCCATTAAAACTATCAAATCCCATTAAAATCTCATTTAAAAGTCCATGAAATCCCATTAAAATCCCAAAAAATGCCAATAAAATCCCATAAAAGCCCATGAAATCCCATAAAAGTCCATGAAATCCCATTAAAATCCCATAAAATGCCATTAAAATCTCATAAAAACCCATGAAATTCCATAAAAATCCCATTAAAACTATCAAATCCCATTAAAATCCCAGAAAATGCCATTAAAATCTCATATAAAAGTCCATGAAATCCCATTAAAA